ACATCCTAATGTTCGTTTGTCAAACGCGTGAGAACCTGTCGCTCTAATGACATACAACATCTCTTTCTCGTGGGAGGCCGTCAAGGCAGCCAGGCCTAAGCTTTCGGTCGCTGCTGCGGGCCGCGTCGCCGCGCCGCTTTAACCCTCATCCGAGCCGGGCTCAGGTCAGTCCTTCCATTCGATCCGTAGATCAAAACTAAGTATCAAACATAATAGAGTGTTGTTCTCCGTCCAAGTGTTCTTTAGTGAGCGCTAAAAGCCTCGCACTCGAGCGCAACGCTCCGCCGTCCTCATTGGTCGCCCCGCTCCGCGTCTCCGCCCAGTTTTCATCTCGGTGAACATCGATCAACCCGGATTCTAGTTTTCACCTCGCGCCGTTCAATTTATCATCCTGGAAACGTCTCTGAAAATAATATCGGGTCCAGTTGTTGCGGGCACCCTTGCCGCGTCGTCGTCGGGCGAGTGTGTCCTGCCCTGTGAATCGGCACTATTTCCCGAAATTCCCGGCCGCCAGGCAAGCGCGGCGTAAGTTCTTGTCCTGTCGCATAGTGCCGCCGCTTTCGGCATCGTCATCAACCTCTGACCAGCGACGGACGCTCGTCACTCTTTCTGCTCTGACCTTTCCCCTGTCCTCTCGCCCAGTCACGAGTCATCCTCTCTTCTCGTGAGCATAACTTCCAGTCAACTTCTCCTCTACCATCTCTTCAGAAGCTCCGAAAAGACTCACAGATCAGAGCTTTTCGCATATACACTTCCAACAAACGAGATAAAGAATCTGAACAAAAAGTAGCTAGGAAAAGACTCAAAAATCAGAGATTTTCGCACATACATTTCGAACAAACGAGATAAAAAATCCGAACCAAAAGTAGCCCGGAAAAGACTCAAAAATCAGTTTTCTGATCACGCATCCGAAAACTTGAGGTCGAGTTGCCGAAGTTCGGGTTAGACATCGAGGCACTTCGGTATAAATCGAAGTACTTCAGATGTCTGACCTGAAGTTCGGCAGCTCGACCTCAAGTTTTTAGGTAGGTACCTGATCCGAAAACTTCGGAGATCCATATTATGACCTCAACTTCGGGTCCCACGAACGAAGTTTTTTTCTCCGCGTGCTGAAAAAGTTTACTACCGTAGTACTAATAACCAGAATAACGAAGAAAAAAAATCGATGGAGTTTCGTTATTTTTGCAAGGAAGGATTCAATTAAGGAGCTCGGGGCTCCCCTCGCGGCGGCGGTGGGTTGCAGCGCGGTGAATAATTGAATCGGAACGGCTCTCCCCGGCGCATAATTATCCCGGGCGTCGGAATTATTTTCCCCCGGTTTCGTTCCTTTTCGGGGCTTTTTCTGCGGTTGCGCCCCGCGAAGCCGGATAATTTATCAAGCGAGTCAATAGGTGCCCGCCAGGAGTGGGCCCAATATTTTGACGGAGGAAATCCTTTTCTGGCGGAGGCCGCCGCGGCGCAAACGAGCATCTCTCCACCATATGGCGCAGGCGCAGACCCGGCCGGTGCGATGGCTGCCGTCTCATCTCCTTCCCGCCTCCGCCCGTCTCCGTTTTTCCCCGGCTTCCTCCTGTATCCATTCCGATGACCTTATGCTATAAAAAATAACAAAAAAACTTGGATTCGCTCGATTTCGGTACCTCGTCATGGCTCGTGCCGGCTCGTGTCTTGAAAGGGAGGGTTTTGTTTCTTTCCTCGGGTCCCGTTTACATTACCATCACCTGTCCTCTTAAAATTTCTCCCGGCCCCGTTAATGATTTTCCCTTTCAGCCTCTCGCTTTTATCCCATTCTCGATGATCCCCCGTCCCTCGTTTACTTTTCATCCCCCCGGTAATTGTTTGTCCCCTCACTTGTTTGCAATCTTGTGATCCATTCCCGATGAATCCCGGTTCCCGTTGGTCTCGGGGGTATGTGCCGTACGCTCCGGCCGAGGCGGCCGCGGCACCATATGGTCGCAACGGTAACGGCTGGCGGACGCCTGGCACGTGCGTTGCGCCTGCGCCTGCGCTCTCGTCCCTGTCACAGCCCGGGCGGCCATACGTAGCGCCTCAATTTGGCCAACGGCGCAAGTGGCAGGTGAGACGACTCTCCGATCCCGGGACCCTGTCATTCTCAAGTTTCAACTTTTATTTCGGCCCAGGCGCCGCTGTCGAATCGCCCTCCTCTCCTCGGAGGATGGACCCAGGGCCCCAGGGCAGGGTCAAGGGAACTTGTGTTCTCAAGGTCAGCATGTCAAATGTATGCTAAATTTCCTGTGCTCCCCTTGAATTAGGCTAATTGAACCGATTATTTTTCAAATCATTTAAGCGCCAACTCTATTTTGGTGGTAGAGGGGTTGTTTTTTCTTCTTTTCCTCTGGTATTGTTAATCATGCCTGATTCCAAAATAGCCCTCCAAAAGAACATTCATCTTTTGGAAGTCGAAGATCGTCAACAAAGCGAACGGTTTTTCTTGTTTTTTTCCCATTCGCAATTTCGGCGCTCACGCGATTTGGAAAATAATAGGTTCAATTGTCAACGCTAAAAGTATCTATTTAGTTTTTGCATCACTAAGAAGAAAGTCCTGCGCACGCGGCAGGGCACAGGGGCGTGGTAGATATAAATCTCACACTTTGACCCAAAATGTCTCGATGTGAATAAGTGCGGAAACTCAGCAATAATAACTCATTAAAGAAGGAGAAAAATGTTCAGACTGTCTCTCTCAGGAGATGGCCGTTCACAGATTGAAATTTAGATCCTCGGTTGCATAACAGCGTTAGGACTCGAGGCGAGTCTAAGTAGCTGAACAGTGCTAAAATAGAGTTATTATCCTATTTTTCGGAGGACTCTTCAAAATCTGCCGTTAAATTTGAGTCGTTCCTCGAGTTCAATACAAAAAAACGATTGAATCCCCGATGAACGGTCGGCGAATAAAAACCGGCGCGAGGAAGAGATTCCGGTGGGACGTTAATTAGGAACAAATTAGCTCATTAATTAAGTATTAATTGTGGAAAAGAGGACGGCGCGGCGGGTCGCGGCGAAAGGCGATGTAATTTAATCAGTATAAATTACACCCACACTCGTCTGCTCTTGGTCCGGCCGCGTCTCAGTGAGCACACAAACGAGCGAGTGCCGAGGCGTGAACGATCGATCATCGATATTGCCCCATTCGAAGCTATAGTAAAGAATCGATTGTTGCGAACACCCTGTCTATCGATCCTTTTCCATAGGTTTGAATGGTGGATCAGTCGATTTATCGCAAAGCACGCCGCGCCTCTGATGGCGAGCGGAGGATGAAAGGGGAGGCGTGACCCGAGGAAACTGGCGCGGAAAATCGAGGAAGAGTTGCCTCGTCCTCGCCCAAAAGCTGAGGAGTTTGACTCATCCGAAAGAGATGTCGCGTATCGATTCCACCGGCTAATTAGAGCTTCTGAGGGAAGGCAAAGCAGGGAGGAAGACGGCGCTGCAGCTGTGGACAGGGAGCGGCCCACCCCCGCAGAGGGGGCGGAGGTGAGACCCGAGCAAGACCTCAAAGTGTCGCCGATACCTTCCACCCTATCTCGGAAGCGAAAAAAAGTCTGGACGGGCAAGCTGCAAAATGGTCATCGGGCAGCTGAAAGATGTTTTTGTATTTTTGGAAGCGAGTGCGATATCCGCTGGGGCGCGTGCAGGGGAGCCTGCCCGTCGAGAGGGAAGTGGGGGAGGGGATTCTGGAGCGAGGTGGGCTTCCTGGGGGTAAGATGATCTGCAACTAGTGTGGCCCGGCACCCGGGTCCCGCCTGGGCCTCTGAGTCAGATAAGGCACGGATCCGCTCCTCAAGCTTTAAGCTCCTTCCCCCGTAACAACTTCCTACGCTAATCGCTGGGTTTCAGTTAAAACATGAGCGGCACTTGCACTTCACCACCCCCTCAACCCTTCGGTGTCCCGCGTCGCATCCTCCCCGAGCCTGATCGATGCGGAGCCTCCCTTGTCGAAAGGACAGACGCGTGCCATTCATGGAGCTGCGCTCTGAAGCGGCTCTCCTTTCTCCTCCAAAAATGATACTAATATCTCGTAAAACTTCGCGTTAAAAAGTAGTAATAAACATAGTAGTTGAGTACTCGCCTGCATTAGTCTGCCGTCCTAAGGAAAAACGCCCTATGGACTTTAAAATGTTGTCAAATTATCCCTGATATAAATTTTATTTTGGAAGAAAATTATGCATATTTGTTTGTGAAATTATCAGCGTTTTAGATTAGATCGCGAAAAGCTGGAAGAAAGTTATTCTCGTATTCGTCAATAAATTCCTTATTTTATTAAAGGAAATTTGGCAACGCCTGAAGATTCATACGCCGTTTTCCCTCAGAACGCCAGTAGGAAGGTCTATATCTTAATTATCAGAACATTAATTTTTCGAGGTCACTTTTGAATCGTTTAAAATATTTTTGAAAATTCATATAATATTTCTTAATCAATATTTAAATTGATATTACCTGGGTAGGTAGTATGAAAGATAACGTTTTTTCTTTTAGCAATAGTATTATGTTTATTTTAAGGTGGTGCCAAGCAACAATGACCATTAACACCTCTGTAGTTAAGTTACAGAGAATCTAGGAAAGTGTGGCGCGAAAGCTAGTATCCGCGTTTTTCGCCGAACTCATTTCGTAATGTACGAATACAAGTTATATTTTTTTTTTACCGAAATTGACAGTTGAGGGGAATGTTGATGGACCTCTAATTAATGAAGGTGTGACGTGAGAACAGAGCCGAAGCGTTTCACGCCTTGCAGAAAGGAATGTTAGCATAGGCATGGGATCAGAGATTTCGCGAATGCACCATTTCTTCTCACCTCAGACTCTGTTCAAATGCAAATGCGCTCGTATGCGTAGGCCGAAGAAAGCGAAGCCGGCACTGAGAACTGCGAGTTCTCTTCAAATGTTGGGAAAACACGTTTTGACTGTCTCTGCTATACATGTCATTGTTTGTGCCTTGTGTTGTAGTTGACGAAACTAATTTTCCACGGTGTTTTGATTTGTTTCAGATGCATGTTCCAGTCGGTCGACGCCAAAACCAAGGCCTCCTCTGCCTACAGCCAGGCCTAATATAACTTTCGATACGTACGTGTGTCCACCAAATTACGCTAAAGAGTACTGTCTCAGTGGTGGAACTTGTTTTACTGTAAAAATAGGCGAATCAATTTTATTCAACTGCGAGTAAGTATCCATCCATATCTTTTATCGAACTCCTTATTTGTTAAAAATATTAATTTATATCTGTCATTAGCTTTGAAAAAAAAGGCGATAGTCTTTGGAGTCAATTTTAACGGTAAAACTAAACTGTGTTGATTTAGTTGAAAAAAATATTTACTCGGATAATGCTTCCGCGTTTCCTGAATGAGCCGTGTGAGGTTTAGTTCATTCGTGTATCGAAGAGCGTAAAATTACAATTTAAAATGGGAATTTTGAGCTCGAACACGATAGGTCAAACATTCACCAGCTTTTTCTCTCAAGTAGGAATTTCAAATCATCAACTCCTGTCCTCCAGTTTAGTTTTTCGTTTTTGAGTGTCTTGAAAATGTTCTTAAAATATTTCCCTTTGCAAAGGCACCAATGGCCTAATTTTATTTTCATTTATTTCTCATGGAATTGCATTCCAATATCGTCGAATGTCACTCAAAAAATATCTAAAAACGTGTCCATGAAGCGGAGCGGGCGACAAGTTGTCATACATTTTTTCATCCGCGTTTCCCTCTAGTAGAACGAAACTCATGTTCGCGATGGCGCAGATGAAGGGGTAAAGTGGCCAGCTCGAGACCACCATGAAACCATTATGTCGCGATGATGCGCGCGTCATGGCAAGGTATCGATGGTAGTGAGCCTTATAAATTAACCATAGGCTAAAGCCAAGTCCAACCTTCGCAAGGGAGATATTAGCTATCAAGGTATTTTGTTGTTTTTCTTTCAAAAAAGAAAAAGATATCGATGGGGGTGTTCTGATTCTGTGGAACAGGGGGCTACGCGTTGGAATGGAACGTGTCCGGGAATCCGTCCAGGTTCTTACGAGACCCAGCAGTCAGCTCTCTTGATAGGTTCATGGCACCGCATAAACACCTTAAACATTCTTCTTTTCACTCTTTCTTTGTTGAAAATTTAAATGTGTTCTCGCGGCGGCGCAGCTCCAAATCGTGCCGCACGCCGTTGATTTCCCGTGTGGACGCGGCCTTTCGTCGGGCGACCCGTGGCAACCCCGGTCCACCCATCCCTTCATCCCCTGCCCGCGTGACGTTTACCTTGATTGACCTGCCTCCTTTCCGCATATTTGCATTATCTCACCGGCGCGGCGACAGAAACGACCATCACTTTTTCAAAGAGGTTCCCTCGATTCACACGTGTCGCACCTTCGACTAGAGAACGCGCCAAACAGTTATGCGAGGATTCAAATTAGGCTTCGGTGACACAAAAAATGAAATAGCAAGGTTCATGTGCAGGGTGTGTACAAGTCAGGAATTAGTACGGATTTTTAGGGGCGGTCCGGAAGTACTGGAAAAATGCGGAAATTCCGCAAGAAGGTCCGGAATTTTTAAAAAAAATTCGTCATTTTTGTCGCAATTTGAGCGAGAAATTCAAACTTTTGAAATTTTTCGAATTTCGTCAAATGGAGGTACTGAAAAAGTACTGAATTTTCCCGCCGAGGAGGTACTGAATTTCTTGGGAATGCACTGAAAAAGAAGTACTGTAAGAGTACTGATTTTTGGCCAGCCTATTTTAGTCTTTTAGTAGACACCCTGATTTGCGGACACTTGTCGATCTAGCCAATTCTCTTCCTCTCCCCACGGTAAAAAAGTTTGCGGCAGTACGTCCGCACCCCGAAAATTTCGGCAGCTGGAGCCGAGATTTGTAGTTCCGGCCGCAGTTCCTCCTCTGTTTTTTGTACAAGATAAAAGTATTCATGGAGGTATATCTTTTCCGCTCGATGTATTTTAAACCAAGAAAAATAATGAATGCTTCAGAATCAACAACCAAAACTATTAATGTTTAAGCTTGAAGCTGAATCTATCAGTACATAAAACTCGCAGAGCTTCGAATCGGAAGTAAAAATAAATGGAGCAACCGGAATGAATATTATTATGATAATTTTGATTTTAATACAAAAAATCACAGCTATTACATGCAATAAAGATAATTTAAAATAAATATACAAAGTTATGATAAAGTTAGTCGGTACTTTGAAAAGGTGGTGAAACAGTACCTCATGTTTCCCGCATCTCAGTTATATCCTGTCGTACATGATTCGCCTTCAATTACCGCGTAGGCAAGAACGCATACATACCCACACATACCAATCTTCGTATGCGTGACTGGCCCACTGAACGCGGCGCGCTCATTTCTCGCAGATTCGGACGTTTAATCTTTCCCCTAAAAGAAGATTCCTGAAATTTCCTCCTTATTTCGTTCCGTCATTAAAATATTGTCACCTCAACTGCTTAAGGCTTTAACCAGCCTCAAATAGTTCAAAAATAAAAACAGGATTGGCCCCTGAACGGGAAAACAGGTGCTGCGATAATTCACCTCAATCCCAATGATAGTTCGCAGCAAATGGGCAAAAAAGGAAGTCCCCTTCAAAACGGCGAATATGTAACCCGCACAACCGTCAAGTCGAAATAGTTATCGCAGAGAGGCAAGGAAGGCGCTTAGGGCTAGTAGACAAGTTTGTGCTTTGAAATTTATTCAAGGTTGACACTTATTCATTCCACTAGTTTCGAATCGAAAACTGAGCGACGAAGAGGATCACGATTTAGTGATGACAGAAATCATTTTAAATGAAACGATCGACAGAGAGCATTAAGTTTGAGGCGAGATACGATAAGGAAGAGAAAAGGGGGAGGAAGAGGAAATTGATGTCGGAGGGAAGATAGGCAACGCTCAAGGCACGTGAAGGACGAGACCCGAAGCGTGTGTATTACCGAATCCACATTTTATTACTCCGGAGCATTTTGTCTCTGAATAGGAGTCAATTAGTTATTAATAACTAAACGGTGCCTATTTAACTCTTCGGTTTACCTTTATGAGGTTTTATTCGGGCGCGCTCAAAAGGCGGGTTTCCCAGAATTCAAAGGATTTAGACCGCGGCGGCGGCGATGAGGGGGGGGGGGTGCACGGGCACAGCGATCCCGTACCCCTGGGCGTCGGCGTGGGTTCCCCGTCCCCCCGAGTCGGTCGTTGGGCCGACTTCTTGTTCATTTTTTTTACTAGCCACTAAATTATCTATTTGAGTTGTTAAATACTGTCCGTCTCCGTCTGTGCCTCTGCTGTGCGCGTCTCTCCGTGGTCCGCGCCCGTGTTCTTATTTATGTCAGTGATGTTCCTCTTCTTCTTCCTCCCTTCTCCTTCTTTTTCTTCGCGTGTCTGCTGACTGCCTCCGTTGGTTTACCTGCCTCGTTCCGACGACTCCTCCGTAAACTCATAAATTCAAATTTTTCACTCGCGTCCTTTTTTATCTCTTTATTTAGGCTAAAGAAAAAGAAGGGAAATCAATAAATTTAACACGTTATTCACGGTGCAGGCGCTCCGAGAGCCTCAATGTGTGCGTTTATGTAGGCATAAATATCTTCATTACCCGGGTTTTCCTCCTCTTGTCTTTGAGTTGTTTGATTGAATTATTGGCAGATTCGTAAACTAGCCGCCCATATAAATACCTTCCCCCGTCCGGTGAGCGTCTCAACATGCACGGTCAGTGTCTCTCTTCGCCGCCGTGACCTCTGCTCTTGAGTTTATTCGCCACCTATTTCCATTTCCAATCTCTTATTTTCTCCGAGCGCTCTTCGTTTCATTTTCTTTTGACACTCGCGGTATCTAGTCGTACCAACCGGTGCCTGAAATTAGGGATACCTATGGAATAGTTTTCTTTTCCCATTCCCCCGAGTCTTCTTTCCATTGCGGGCTCTTGTGTTTTTCGCACTTTTGGAATGTCTCTAGTACAGAGATGCAGAATTCTTCGGCTTAAGCAATTTCTATGACATTGCGCGTTCGCGGTAATTTTTTTTATAATTGAACGCGGTGGCATTCATTTTCTCAAAATTCAACGCCTGTGCTGTAATTTTTCCAAAAATGCAACTCTTAAGACGTAATTCGACGTTTTCGCGATAGTTTTGAAATAATCAGTACGCTCGCAATAATTTTTTCAAAGTGCCAACATTCTCGTCTTAAATTGTCGCATAAATCAGTAAAATCAGTTGAGCGTTTACTGTTTAAAATAAAACCGATTCGATTCTTGCAACTGGACGTTCGGATCATGGAACCGAACCTCTTTCGTGAGTTCATTCACTCTCGTCAGTTCGGTTATACGAACCGAAAGTTGAGTTTGACGAATTGAATAGCTGGAATGATATAGAACACCATGCCCACCTTCATTTTGTGGATTTATAATTTCATCCTTCTAGAAGGCAAAATAGTTGGATCGCGTGTTTCGCCCCACCCAACTTTTCTACTCATGCGTTTAAGTCTTTGAGTCAGCCAGAAAGAGTTCATGTTCCCCTTCATTTTGCAGAGCTGCAATTTTACCCACGTGGAAGTTGAAATAGTTGTATCACGCGTTTCGCTTTGTAGCCCTGTAGTGGCGGAACATTTTCGCGGAATCCATGAGTGGATATGCAGAAACAGATTTCATTCAACCGTAATAACTGACAATTCGTATCACTGTGTCAGAGTAAGGTAAAATGTTCCATACTTTTTTTCAGGGAACTTATTTTTGCGAAACTTGTCAGTTAGGCGGTATAGCTCCTTAGCCTTCGATGGGCAATTGGGCTATGCTGCCTTGCCAAGGAAAAACGTCGTATGAACCTTCAGGCGTTGCCAAATTTCCATTCATAAAACACGAATTTCTTCCTACACTTATGAATATTTTTCTTCCAATTTTTCCGATAATATTGTTTACAATTTCACCTAAAGTTTCGGAAAAATATTCATAACTTTTCTGGAATATTAAGGTTTCATTGAAGGAAATTTGGAAACTCTGGCATATTGATACGGCGTTGTTGCTTAGCGCGGGAGTATGGGTTAGTGCTGGGACGGGGTATTTTGGGCAAGTGCGTGTGGCCGCGTCGCATCGTGTCGGGCGGGATGGGACCCGAGGTGGGCGCGCGGCGCGAAGACACAGGTGACTCAGGTGAGAGTCACGGCCCGGGACATGACTTCGCTCGGAGTCCGCGGATTATCCCGGTCCGCGCCAACAAAAGCCCGTCTGTTTTAATGAAGTTTCTTGACAGTGCATTATCCGCATTTCACTTGTTCCGGGGAAAAGCGCCGAGAAAAAACTCCCGAGGAATAAAGGAACGTCGCCAAAGCCCCCTGTCCTTTGCCCTTATCCGCTCTCGGATCCTCCTGTTCCCAGGGCGTCTCTCACATCCGTGGCCTCTGTAAATACCGGAGACATTCCGAACGCCTCTCTCGCTTTTATACACCTCCCGTCAGCGATCAAAAACTCGCTCCCGATTGCCGCCTCCAAAGTAAATAAACCGATGGATAATTAATGAGATTTCGGGGTTCCACTAAACTCGCGCCCTCCTCTCGGAATCCAACGCACGAAAAGGGAGAGAAAGTGACTTTTTCGGATCGTGGTAAACGTAGAAGTAGCAACCCAGGGATTATATTTTTGATCTCGCATGGGAAAAATTAAATTGCTTAACAATTTTGCAGTTGGGAAAAAAGTCCGACATGTTTCAATTTAGATTTTACAGTAAAAAAATGCTGATTTAACCACCCCTGTGGTTCCAAATTGTAAAATGTACGTTTGAAATATGTCGGACACATTTTTTAACGATTTAATTGTTAAATCAGCAATCCATTTTTCCCGCGCAAGGATGTTAGGTAAGTACATGTGGAAAAGTTAGTTGAAGGCCTAATGCAAGTACTAACTTTTCTACAATGGTCTATTTTATCATAAATGTTATAATTAATGATTTTTTTTTATCAGTCACCTATATGTATCATTATTTAAACATGTTTGATTGATGAATCTCATTTTTTTTTCCCAGATGCGCTGATGGTTTCATGGGGCAAAGATGCGAATTCAAGGACTTAGAGGGGTCCTACTTGCGTAAGTTTCTAAGATTTTCCTATCCGAACTTTGTTTTTAGTACCAATTGACTATCATCATCGAAGATTTTTATTTTTTTACGCCTTTCTCTTCAGTCAACTCTAGATTAATCAATTGATTACCAAGTAACCAGTCGTGAAAGAATAGTGCATTGCAGAAATTACCGCTGTATGCGGTAGCGAATCAGAATGTTTTCAGGAAAATTGAGGAGCTTGGAGAATAAGGCGCACAAGAACAGTTTTTGAAATAATTGAGTTACTAATGATTTTAAGTTATACTAGTCTCAATGCATATTCTGTGAAAAATTCGCTCCCAAATTCCAATTTTCAAGCATCAAAAAGCCAGTCCGAACTTTCTTTTCGCCAAAAGGATCCATGTAATTTAGAAACTTGAAACACGTATTTCTCAAAATAGCAAAAACTGCACTTATGCGCCTTGTCCTCCAAACCCCCAATTGTGCCGGGAGCTGAGGACTTCTTTTCCAGATATGATCATATATTAAGCAGATTAAGAAAGGCACGAACAAAGCGCCGCGTATTATATGAGAACAAAAATCCTTGCATATGTATACACGTACCCAATATATCCTCTCTTGTATTTAGTTAATTCGATGTTGAGCCTTGTGACAGACTTACCGCCGCCAGCCGGTGGGGTTTGCTACGGAAGAGAGCCGCAAGTGGAGCCTCGAGACACTTACGAGCATGTGCCAGTCGCGGCTCACCACAGGAGTGGACTTGCGGCTGTCTTCCGTAGGACGACAGAACTCGGCAGGAGGAATAAACAGAATTCTACCCGGTTTTACTCAGCAGGCGATTTCCCTCCTCACGATAAAGTTCAATTCTTTTCGAAATGACCTCCCGCTCGGGCCCCGCGCTAGGCAGTTATCGGAATAAATTGGACGTATTTGTGCTGAAAGGAACTATGTCACACGCAATCCCTATGCACATAGTTCCTTTTAGCAGAAATATGTCCAATTCATAACTGGCCAACCGAACATTTTGCCGCGGCAGTCGTCTTGTTTCGGCGCATGATAGAGCACTGAAAAAAAAATCTCGGTGTTTTTACTAAGAAAAGGGTAAAATTACCAAGAATTCAGGGTTCTATTTGATCCCAGTTTTCTCTTGGTAAAATTACCATTTATGGAATTGGTAATTTGACCGAGAAATCTCGGTAAAATTATTGAACTTTCTCAGTAATTTTACTGGACCTTGGTAAAAACGCCAATATTTTTTATCGACTGTGGTAGAATTACCGAGATAAATTGGCAAAGTTACCGGGAATTGATTACTAATAAAAGTGGTATTCTTACCTGAGAAAAACAGTAAAAATACCGGTTTTTAGGTAAGCTTACCAGTCTGTCTTGGTAAAATTACCAATAATGCGTAAAAAAAGTGAGATGGTAAAGGTACCAACGGACTGTGGTAAAAACGCCGAGAATTTTTTTTCAGTGAGGAGTATGAGAAGGGAATGATAGAGGGAAGAATACTTCGTCACCCTCCGGCCAAAGTATCACAAGCGCCGTGCGACGTTTCAAAATTTCCGCCGGCGTTTTATTTTTTAACAGAGAAATTGTTCAACGAAGCTGTCCGAAAATTTCACTCGATTTTCTTAACAAGTGCTGCCGATGAAATTCAGCGTTTGCAAACAGAGTAAACCTACGATTTCTCTGTAAACAAATAAATTGGCGGTGGAAATTTTGAAACGTCGCATCGCGCTTGTGATAATTCGGCCGGAAGGTGACAAGTTGCCAACGAGAGGAGCTTGCACCGTTCCACCGTCGAGGAATGAGGGTCTCAACTATTTGGTTTTCATAATTTTTTAGACTTTGAATTTTGAGAACTGGATCTTTTCTTCAAATTATCCGTCAAAAGAGCTATCTTTTAACAGCCGGAATCAACGACTTTTGTACAACTCCACTTTAAACTTCGCTGAGCCATCGTCGTTTTCTGCTCGAAGGGAAAAACTGATATTATAAATTTATATAGCCCAAAATGGATCAAACCCAAGTTTCACCTTTGAAAATTTGACTCCTTTTTTTTAGAACTGAAGTCTCTGTCTCTTTAACTTATCATCTAATCATTTGGTTCTTTTTTTCCAGCAACGAGAAAAGCTGTGCTTTTGGAAACTGCAAGTATAGCATCTGGAGCAACGATTGCTGTCTTACTAGTCGTGTTTGCTGGTGTATCCATGTATATACATATACAACGACGACACAAACAACAACGCCTAGCAGCAGGCACTTGGTAATTTTTTCAAATATTTTATTGTCTAATTTGCAAATCTTATGCTCTTTCAGGGCCGGATTAAGGGGGTGGCCTCATGGGCCGCGGCCCATGGCGGCAAATCTATAGGGGGCGGCAAATTTTGCAATTTTTTTAAATGTAGGTATAAAAAAAAATTCGGATTTAGAAAAAAAAATTACAAACGAGAAAAGGCGACAAAATCTCTAATTTTCTGAGAGTATAGTAATTTCTACTTTTGTCGTCTTTCGGTGATACAAGAGACAGCACCTTTAATTAGTCGAGTCAAGAGAGAAACCAAACACGCAATTTGGCCTGGAACGGCGCGACTTTCCTAGAGAGAGATGATGACTAGGACTTGAGATGAAAAGGAGAAGCCCTCCCTGTGCGCGGCGATCGGCATGTAACACATATTAGCGCCTACAAGACTGCACGAATACTTCACGCATTGCATCAAACACAGTGCGGTCATTGCGGACAGCGTGAAACGGATAGCGCCTACGAGAATGCATGAATACCTCACCTCACGCATTGCGACAGACACAGTGCAATCAGCGTGATACGCATAGCGCCTACATGACTGCGTGAATACTTCACGCATTGCGTCAAACACAATGCGGTCTGCGAGGCGCGGCGGCGCGGCGGAAGTTAAAATCATTGAACCACATTTATGTTTGTTCTTTCATAATTTGTTCGTTCATTTCTTATGAATGGAAGGCCTTGTCCACACAGAGATAGGTTTACGAAACTTAACTTTCGTGCAAAGTTCCGTGAACTTTTGCTAGAAGTGTTGACAGGGCTTTCCCAAAAAATGTGTTCAACACCAGTAAACGCGTATTATGCACACCTCCCTCGCTGGCACGTTCATTTGATGGTTTTCATTGATGTTTCAAAACGAATGAGAAGGGGGCGGCAAAATACTAGCAGCCCATGGGTGGCAAGTAGGTAAATCCGGCCCTGTGTTCTTTTATGAAACATAGTCAAAAATATCCTTTAGCTTAGGAGCTGGAGCCCTAATCAAAATCCTCCAGAAATTTAACTTTAAATTAATGAACAAAATAGATTCGCCCTTCATTTAAATTTTGCAAGCTTCTCTCCTGTGAGTACTTTCATGCTACTAAGCCTCTAAAAATGCTTTTTACAGTTTGAGACAGCTTCAAGTCACTTTATCGTCTTTTCATAGTATAATGATGTTTAACTTGATTTTGTCCTTTTTTTTAGTTGTGTGGATGGGAGTGGCGGTGACATTGAAAGGCGACTACCATTTGCCCGACGATGCAATTCAGCACCTCTTACCAAAATTCCTCGAGCGAATCTGCATAGTCAGGTGAGAACCATTACCTTATTACAACCACAGGGTGTACACTTATTATGTATTTCTGCATGCAGGAACGAGAAGATCGGTAGGAAAATCAAGCAGAGATGTTGATATCCAGAGTAATGCACGCTGGTTTGTGCCCTTGGCGAAAATCATCTAAAATGGGTCGTTCTGGGAACCGACTGGCTAGTATTCCGGGTTAATTTAGCGGCTCCAGTCTGCTCCTCCATACATGACATATCTAGAAATTCCGTGTGTTTCTCCATAGTGAACTCATTTATTCACTGTCTGCCGAGAGCAATACTTGAGTCTTCCTTAAAAAAAAGGAAAGCTTAAAAAACTTCGCTGCATGCTTAGATAGCATGCAGGATTGTAAAATGATTCCCCAATGTTGTATCTAATACATATGGTTGCTGATACTTTGATATTAAGCACTGCTTTTTTTTTTGTATACTACTCTTTTTCAAAAGAAAAAATTGTGAAGCTAGAAAATCTCTGGTGGGTATATATGAAGAAAATACCGTTTTATCTACATGAATCTAAAATTAAATGAGAACCTCCATCAGGTATGAAATTATGTAAAATTTTAATCTGGTAATATGGCACATTAAAGAAAGGAACATTTAATAAAAGGTATCTGAATTTTTTTCTTTCACAGAGAGCAGCTGTCTTGTCCTCTGCAGAGAAGGGAGACTGCGTGACATCATCTGTATACATTTCAGTTGACCTTATCCCACCCAGGGTACAACCTTCCTTACAGACAGCGCCATTACATGCGCCCTCTCGATCCGCTCCTACGATAACATCACCTGACCCTCAATCTCAACGGCACATAGTTGAATGCTAGGCATTGTTTTGCTGTTTTCTTATGTTTAACTAAATGAAAGCCTAAAATACTTAACTTATTGTCCTTGTAAATATCATAAATATTTTTTGTGCATAGGAGATCTTTCGGCCTCTTTGTTGCAGATTGATGGCTGAATGAAAGACAAAAATTTAAATGTTATTGAGACCTAATTATTGGACTGTTATATCTGTTATTAATTATTTAATTATCATTAGATATTACTATTTCTTTGCTATCTCTCTCATTTTATAGTTTTTTATTGATGTAATTATGTATTAGGTATAATTAGTTATTGTATTTTATTTTGGTTTTTGATTTTTATTTGATTTATTATCCTTAGTAGATACCCTAGATTATTATCATTCTATCTCCATTAAGACTGTTAATAACCATCCATGTTCAACCTTGCATTGAGCTACCTACTTCATGTGCATATTGTTTGTCTATGTTCACTCTTCCCATATTCTAGCGACCTCTAAGAATTCATGTAAGAAAATAAGAAAAATTTGCATGTTTTATCTGTCAGAATTGTTTCTTTAAGTGCAGGGATCTCCCAACATCATAGAATCTTCACGTAAAGCCATTATGATTGTTGCAAAGATGTTTACATCTGTGAGTATACCTGCATCGCTGAGATTTCATGTTAGTCAAATTTAAAGAGAATTGCATCAGTTTCATTCTGCAAAATTACTGCGGACCTTCTTTTCATCATTGCTCTTTCTGCGTGGAGAGAAAGAAAACAGTTGAATTTCATGCGTCTCGTATTTCATTAATCTCCACAAGAATGTAAAATCAAATTTACTATAAATAATAATTCAAAGCAATTTCTACATGTACGCACAATGATCCCACCCCTTCCTATTCCATTTAATATTAAGAAATAAATTTATTCTCCTCTAATATAAGCATCACTTCTAATGTGAAATCTTAAGATAATTATTTATTTATTTTTTTTATCTTCAATTAAAGTTAGCAGAATGTAAGCTTTACAGATATGTTTAGTGAAATTCAGGATTAATAATACATGCTGGGTGACTTGAAGGAACAATGATTTGACGATAATTTGTATTCTATAACAGATTCAGTCGCGTTGACAATAATTTATTTGAGCTGTATTAATTATATTGAAGTTGTTCTGACAATAATTTGTTAAATTAGTTTTGACAGTTCTGAATCAGGAGAGATTGTGGACAGTTCATATTTCGCCTACCGCAGAAGCTAAGTAGCTTCATCTTTTGCATATTTTAGGAAATTTTATGTTTTAAAGCTGAAGTTTTGATATTAAAATATAAAATGTTGCTTTTTTACAAATTTTAGAATTGTTTCTCTTGAATATTAAATCTTATGGTTGTTATCATTCTAAAATTTTCTCAATCATAAGGAATTTTTCGAAACCAAAATTGTTCAAAACAAAATTACTTTATTGCGCCTTATTTTGTCATGAGAAATTTCCCATGCTGTGTTTGATGAAGTTGAAAAAATTTAAGACTTCAGATTTTATTAAATTTTTTTTTTTATCCAGGTAGTCATATTAGCCATTTAAAATCCTTCAATATCATTTGTTTCCTTTAGAATATAAATGGTTGCAATGTTTTCAAACAAACTTTATTTCAGTACTTTGTGGTAAAAAAAAAAAAAAAAAAATGAAAGTAAAAGTGTTATCATAATAACCTCTGGAATGTTTAAGTCTTGTTTTTTGGTGGGAGGGGGGATGGTACGATTGTCATTTTAGACAGTAATCAGAACTCAAATCTCAGCTGTCATAACAGCACAGATATTCCTTCATTTGTACATTTGACACAGCAGCAAACTCAAAAAAAGGTTGCAAACTTTTACTTGAAGGTGATTTATGGAACTGCAAGGTTTAAATTTTAGTTGTATTTCTGTAGCTTCATCTTGTCTCAATAACTCTTGTAGATCATTGAATTTGATCGCTAGCTCAAAATAGAATAGATGGAGTTCTCTGTGCTCCACTTTCATTAGTTTTTAGATCATTTTTCACTTACATTGTTAAATCAAACCTAATTTATCCAATTCAGCTCTGAAAAAACAAGAATAATAATTCTTTTATCCTCTTTAAGGGTAACAAAAGTTTTACAAACTTTATTTTAATTGTATTCTGAGCCAGATTTCTTCGCATTTTAAAAATCAAGAGTAGTTTTTAATTTTCAACATGTATGCATCAAGAAAGTATGCGATTACTTTGTCAGTTTGTTTTTTTAATCCTTGTTCGACTTCATGAAATTCAAACTGTCAGGAGATTTGGAAAAGGTGCTACTTAGAGTGAATTTCAAAATTCTGGCATAAGTAATTTACATGTGATTAAAGTAATTATGTTTCAACTTTAAGTCGTATAAGTAGCTTTAGTCCAAGTACTAATTATTTTGAAATAATAGGCTGAAGATGCAAAGGTTTTGTCTCTTTTCTCTCTTAGGGTTCAAAAAACGTAATTTTTGCCAATCCAGTGCTCTTTCGTGTAAATTTGCGTTAACTTTCTTTTCCTCTCAGCAGCATCTATTTTACAATCATTGAGCTGCATTGGCCATCTTGAAACATTTTATGAATGATATTTCTCAAGTCATCCAATAACTAAAATATTTCTAGTCCTCCATTATCAAACAGTACTAATTTGTTTGATACTTATTAGAATAACCAGAAGGAAGTAATAGAGACCAGCAGTTTGAAGTACCAAAGCAAAGCATCTAATATTAGTTTGTGTTGGTCTCTTAGTCAGAGCGAATTGCAAATTTCCATTCCTGCAGGGGTGTGATTCTATCAGTTGCTTCAACAAATATATCTTTGCCCTTTTAAGTGTTTCTGTGAAAATGTTCAGAAGTGTTTCAGAATACATCATTTAATTCTATTTCTCATTTGGAAATTCTTGAGGAAAAGAGGGTATTAATAGTAGCAGATCAAGTCATCTTTATACCCATAATTAAATGCCACAAAAAGCGATTTTGGAACCAAACTTAATGAGAAAGTTAGTTTAAGTATTTTATTGTTGTTGTTTTTATGCGATAGGTGATTATTATTACTATTAGAATTATTATTACCGCGACTACCGTTACTCTCCCGCTTATCAACTTTTTTTTATAACTTTTATTGCATAATCATTAACATTCCCTGTAATTATTATTACCTAAATTGTTTGTAAAGTGTACAATTGTATGATTAAAATGCACAGAAAGATGTATATTTTATTCCAACTATGTAAGAAGCGTTCTTAAAAATGTGCCGGTGGGCAGTATACCCCCTTCTTGTACATTGTAGCAGTCCCTATTTTCCTAAAATTTGCATGTGATGTTTCAGTTTTCAGTGGTCCGTTAGTTACAATTTCTGTTAGGACAAAAAATAAAAACGATTAATTAAAGCAAAAGTTCTGTATGGTGCATTTATTTTTTCAAGCTGGTCTTCATTAAGTACTAGCTTTATTGCAAAACTTTATATTAATTCGCTGCCAACAGCCACTATTTTAAAGATCATCATCTTTCAAATGCTACTCTTCATTTGTCCTCAATATTGCTGCTGTAAATTTTTCATTAAGAAGATTTTTGCTAAGAAAATGTTAACTGTCACAAGCTCAAAAACTTCTCACCCATGGCCCAAAATAATTTTCATCATTCTTTGTAAGTAGGCTTACTAGTTCTTTTATTTCAGTGCATGCAAGTGTTTTCAAAACTATGCAGTAAATTAATACGCTTCTTCCTCTTATGATGCTTTTGCAGTCAGTCCCAGGTAGGTCTTTTCTCTCAATATCAAGATTCTGAAAAGACGTGGGTGTTGAAATCAATTTTTGTATCTGAATTTTATTTGTAGTTGTTCTGATAGTAACAAATGCACTAAAAATTTAACATTAAAAAAAAAAACAGTGGACAAAACAACAATACAAGCATCTTTATCATTGAAATGGAAAATTATTGAGCTGAAGTTCGAAAATTTTTTCTTTTTTTTAAGACTTGAAAATTATTTTCGTAAAATTTTAATCCATCACCATGATAACGTTTTCTATTAAAAATGAAGGCATTGAAAAAAAATTAAAAGCTTCAAATGCAGGGAACAACATTAATACCTAAACATTTTGAAAGATAAAGAAAACACCCTTTCGTAAGTTGAGGATAGCAAAATCTCTCAAAATAATTTCAATCGCCTTGAAACTGAACATTATCATGTTTTCAGAATAAATTAGAATCAGACTTCCAAATGACTCATTCAAGCTAATGCCGTATTCGTAGGGCAACTGTGCGAGTGCGAAAGAAGAGCGCCATCTACATTTTCATACATGAATTACATGGAAGGATAAAGATGACAGATCTTTCGTCGTTCTCCTAAGGTTTAATAACTTACTTGGCGCAAACTCTACTCTATTTTAAACTTCACTATCTTTTTTCAGGCTTGATAAATTAAAACTATCCAGTAACGTCAACTGAATGAAATTGTTGATCATTAGCTGTTCTTCTTGAACTTTTGTTTCAATTAATTGATTTTTTGTCTGATTCAGTATTTTTTATTTCTTTCAACCCACTAAGTTGTCCTTATATGGTATCAGATCTCGATGTTTTCCCTTAGCTTTAGATGTGTTAGTTACGTTTAGAGGCTGTGAAGCCTTTACGTCTAACCTCAGAAAAGGACTTGATATTGTGCATTTTTTTACTTTCCATTAAAACTCTCCACAAAGAACTGAGTTCCTATACAGGCATCACGAGAGAATTAATGTTTTTCTTTATACCAAAAAAGTTTCTGTACAGTTTAGGAGACATAATTTCTCAAACATATTGAGATTTTTCTGAACTTTTTAAATTAAGTTTTACAAGTGTGCTTGAACTATAAAGGAAACCTGTTGCACTCAAGAGCTGAATTTAAAAATACTTGATAGAGACAAATTGAGGTGTAGTAAGTTAAAAAAGGCCTACAATTTTCTACCACGTTCTCAGGATAATAAGTAGATGACAGTCATATTGGCATATTCTAGATGCACTGTTAGTATGAGTCAAAAATACTTCATCTGTACAGATATTTTTAGAATTCATTTCTTCACTTTAATGATGAGATTTCAAATCAAGTTATATGTTCATTTAAATGTCGATATATGAGTAGCAGGAAATGAGATTTCTTAATGAAAACATTCTGTTTTTTATCTCAAGGAATTCTGATACTTAGGATTTATAAATTTGTTATGTATCTAGAATGAAACTGAATAACCACATTTCTGCAATAAGCAATAATGCTTTTATGTCACATCCAATCAATTTTTATGAAGGAAGCAATTAATGACAATTCCCTGGGACCCAATGTGACTTCAATACAATTCTTCTGAAGTTTTTTCTAAAATTTTGTGTAAAAAAATTTGAAAGAACGGGCAATTTCAACAAAAATTTTCATTTTAGAGGACAGCAAGTTTCCTGAAGTTCCAAGAACTGTTGACTAGAGAGGTTTAGAACTTAAAATTAGACTTGTCTGATAGTCCATCAGCTAAACTTCTAGCATTTATTTTTTGTAAATGCAGCGACTTCTTTCTCCCCCACTGAGTTGTGCTCACATCTAAAAGATCTGTCACCTAATCCCTCAAAAACGATTTGCTGCTCTGAAGGCATAACTTGATGAGAACATCCTGATTTAGGTGAGTGAAAGAGTTTATCGTGCTCTCATGATATGCCCAAGTCTTTAATTTGCATTTGTGACTCACATTAGCAAGTAAAACTCTCAGTCAATATTTTATCCTATTATGAACTTTTAAGAAGAACATTAGTTAGTTTTCCTTAAAGTATGCTTACCTCACCTCATTAACTTTAATAATTATGATAGTTATTAACCCTGTTAAACTTTGGTAGTAGGGACCTGTTCATAAATACCATGGAATACCTGATAGTTAGACATTAAATCTTTCAGTTGAGCCAGCTGTAAAAGTGCATAATCATGGCTGAGAAAGTTGTCAGAAATGTGTGCCCAAGTCACGGTGACTTGGATGGTATTTTGGAAGGAGTTCTTACCACCAATTTTTGCCAGGGAAAACAGTCGCTAGTCAGATATGTAGTTTTGTTATTAAGTCAAACAGTATTTTTGCTCATTTCATGTATTCGTATTTGGTTCCTAATATTTAGTTATTATGATTGCTATCAATATAGCTGTGGCAGGCAGAACATCTGATTAGTCCATTCCGTCACTCTACAGCTGCTTTAATTTTTAACGTTTACCCTGTGTATTAAAACTTCCATCAACAAATTAACTCCTTTGAAATTCCACTAATGCTCAATGAGCTTCAATTTTCAGGGATACTCATAAACTGAAATCAGTCCATTTTGGTAATTATACTGTAGATGGAATAATACGCGTCTGAACCTGTTTTCTTTCTTAAACGGTAGTCTATCATTTTCATCTTATCTAAATTTGCCTACCTGCATTATTTTGATAGCTCTTTACTTAACATTATTTGCTGCAAATTGAACAGCAAATGTTTTTACTAGATTTGTATCAGCTTATCTCTCTATATATATTTGTACAGAGTGAAATGTTATTTTTATTTATTTTTATTCAATTCAATTTTATGTAAATACAGATGATTGCATAAATATGATTATTTATGTAGGTACCTATGCTTGTGCATATTTTCAAATATGTAGATAGATTATTTAATTAATTCAATTAAATATAATTTTATCGAAGCCACTTGATTTGTTTTTCCTATCTCCTTTCTCCTGCAATCTTGATTTCAGAATTCTAAAATTATATTTTACTTAATGCCGAGTTCCTTGTCATTCTTCCTCGATTTTGGACAAAAAAATTTCAAGATAACCGACTGAGCCTATTTACGAAGGAGCGTAGAATCAATTTCGCACCGTCCTCAGGTTTCCTGATCTGTGAAATGATCTTTAACGAGTGATTTTGACCCTTCAGACCATGGTAGAATATCCTTTGATTGTAAGGACGGGTTGACTCGTGGAGCCTCTTGGGCGAGAAATTTGGACTGATTTGTCAGTTTTACAGGAGAATAGCTTCTTTCAATTTTGATCCCAGAATTCCATGTAACATTTTTGGGAAGAAATACATATTTAATGTTGCCGACACTTCTTGAGGAATGAAATTTCATCAATCAAAGTGATGGAAAAAATTTGAATTTGAAACCACAAATGCTGAGGTCTTGAGGCCCTCAAAAATCATCACTTAGGGGCAGATTTGTCTAGAAACTTTTGGATGAGAAGATTAACATTTGCGGTACAAGTCAGTGCCTAGTTCGAATAATATAATTTTCTTTCTCTGTTATACATATTAAATGCAATAGTTGCAACGAAGCCTTCAAAATTTACAGGAATTTTTGGTTTTTTTCTCATTTGAGTATCATTGTATTTTCTAAAATGTAATTCAAAGCTGATGCAAATTGGCTGACTGAGCCAGTTAAGTATATTAGGTACCCCCTTCATTCTTACGTTAGAATTAGGTTCCCACTAGAGTCAAAGTGGTAAATCTTTAAGTCTTGGGAACCTTGAGTTATGGTTAGTTGAAAATACAACGGAACATTATACTGCCGTGCTAAGGAGAAACGCAGTATGAACCTTCAGGCTTTGCCGAATTTCCTTTGATTAAACGCGAATTTATTGGTCAACTTATGAATATTTTCCTCCCAATTTTTCAGATTATTTTGTCCGCAATTTCATCTAAAGATTCTGAAAATTTAAAGTAAAAATATTCATAACTTTCCTCAAAAATGAGCAATTTATTTGCGGAAATTTGGCAACTCTCGAATGTACATACGGCTTTCTTCCTTAGCACGACAGTTTAGACGAAAGATATAAGAGCAGATTTCAGCTTTTTTTATACAAAGTAATATTTTCTCGCCTGCTACATGGGCTGGGGTTTTCATGAACAAGTAATGAGGTCAGATGAAGCAATGCTGAAGGTACCTTTCTGAACTTTGAAGAACTACTAAAAATGAAGATATTAGGTGAACGAATCGAGTTGGAAAATTATTTAGACAGCTCCACCTCTACTTTCAAATGATTGCAGATCTTCCATCAAATGATGATACCTCAAAGCTACCAGTCACTAAAAAGCTGGAAAAGGCATAATTTCTAATTAGCTTTCAGTTCCTGCCAATATCAGCAGTCTGTTGATGTCAAAATTTTTGGGACTAATGGGAAATATCAAAGGTTTTGTCCCTTGCAGTGAAATATATAGAAACGAAACAACCTTTTAGGTCTGAATCTTCAAAAATCAATTCTGGGTTTTCTGAAGAGATAGATGAAGATTAAGTTTCAGTTGTTTTCATGTGTATGCATTTTTAAATTTTTTTTAAAATGCAAATTCTCAAAATAGTAGACAGTATTATCGGTTACACCCCCCCCCCACTATTTTGAGGATATTTGAAAGTTTGATGAGAGAGGCTTGAGGGGCTTATCAGTATTTTTAGAACATTTATAATGAAAGATGTTTTAAGAGTCTGTCTCAAATTTTTTTTTTTATATTTATGAGTCACTATCCAAAAGAAAACAACAAAATATAAATACAAGTAGATCTTCCTTGCATGCTAAAACTTTTTGGCACCACCAATAGAGGCAATCCCTTCCCTAATGCTTGTGAGGGTTGCTGCCTAGAATGGGCCAAAAATTAAAACGAAATAAATTGGAAAAGTTGTGTATTGGCATTACTTAAAGCCTAAGGGGGTTTTTTTTTTTTTTTATTATTATTATTATTATTATTATTAAAACATTTGTGGGGCTGCTCCCTTCAATTTTGTAAAAAATATCTTATAAAATTAATGCATTTTCTGCCGATTCAATTGTACTTAATACTTAAACATAGTATAAATCGACTAGAGCCCTCACTTTGGTTGTCTTAACTCAACATCTAGAAGTAATCGGACTCCAAAATGACTCCTCACCAGTTTCTACCATGCTTGAAAAGTACCATTAAATCAGCAGAGGACAAATAATTAAGAAGTTCATTTCCTTAAGCATAAAAGGCACAATCTTGAATTTTTTTATTTTAAAACCCCATTGGTAAGCCTCAAAACGATGCCAATACGTTACTTTTCCACACTGTTGTATTTAGATCTTCAAAAAAAGCTGTTCTCTGGCCCACCCTGGCGCAACCCTCTGTTCAAATTACGGCTCGTTTTCTCTAGAGAAGAAACTCAATAATCATTGAATCTAATCGGACATAAATTTTCATTCTTAACCAAGATATGAAATGTCTCTGCTTTAAGGTATCAGGAAAGATGAAAGAAGCAAAATAGTCTTGTTTTGTCAGTTTTATTCATAAAAGTAAAAATAAAAATGTTTAAACAAGTTCTGGTTTGCCTGTTTTGACATCGCTGGAGGGAGCAACAGGCAATGGATCTTCTTTTGCGTCAACAACACTAACTTTGTCTGGGAGAGGTTTCCTGGGGCCAGTCTTGCCAGTAGGATCCCACGGCAACATAATCTTAACTTTGATTCCTAACACTCCTGTAATAAGCAGAGACAAAACTATTTAGCACCAGGGAAAAATCTGAAGAGGGGGGGGGGGGGCATTGACTGCTCTTGAATTCATATAATCTTATTTTGACAAGGCGTGTTCGTTCATTAAATTTCACTTTATTCGGTGTGAAAGATGAGATGAGACGGGAATGCAAAAACTCATTAGCTCTCCCATTATAAAACCCTGGTTTTCCTTAAAAATCTAAGAGTGATGACCTTACTGCAGTTTTGTGCAAATAAATTGCTGCAATTTTACACCAAAAGAAAAAAAAAATGTTATTTTTACCTTACTTTTGCACAGAAAAAACCGCTATTTTTGTAGTCTCCCCAATTAGAAAACATGTTTTCAGAGCTTTTTAATTTTTGCTCGCGACCGATTGAGGTCTACTTGGTTGCATCGTTCGGAAGTTTTTGCATACCTGTGATGAGCACACGCTACTCTACACACGTAAAAAAATTCCAAATGGAAACTTGGCTGACACAAGAGTTCAGAAATAGAGCAATTGATGTTTCACCTGCTGCAGTAATTAGTGCGAACGCAATGAATGTGATGAAAGCAGCTGTATTTTGGAGGCTTTTTCGATTAAACAGAGCTTCTCTCAATGCGCTGTGGCTTTCATTGACTTGTTTCTGTTTTCTGTGTCTCACTTCAGTGCTAGGAAAGAATTCATATTTCTTGCTTGTGACAGACTGATCTAGTGGCTACATCGTAGTTCAATTAACACATAACCTTGTCTCTGATTAGTGATCTTTGCGTCATGGGGGTAAAATTCCCCCAGTGTTTCTTATCATCGAAATTTCTTGTTTTTAATTAACCTTAATTGATTTGTGACCCGTCAATATTTAAATTGTGATGGATTAACACAATTAACCCACAAAGAATTCGTATATGAGGTTATGTTAAGTGATATTATTTGTTTTGGTTAGAACTATGAGTTTGATATTACATCGAATAACTTAGTTACTAAATCAGTCTATTGCTGACTCCTAGATTGCACACACAGATGGAGGTTGGAAATGGTTTTTCTTGGATCTCTTAAAATCAATGTGGGAGTTCACTGCCGACCTTTTTTCGAATATTAATTCAAAAATTTTTAATTACTTGTATTAATAAAGTTATTTTACTTATTTAATTTACTCTTTCTTTTTTTAAATTTAGATAATAATAAAAAAAAAAAAAAAAAAAATAGAAGAAAGGGTAAAAAACAGTCGTGAGTTTGAAGAGAGCTTGTCAAAAAGTTAACTTCTTTAGACTAGATGACAAGAGGTGACTTATTGACTTACCTTGCCGCAGAAGTACGTGACGAGTGGCAGTATTTACAAAGTCTTTGCAAGGTTCTCCACTGTGAATCATTAATCCATCAACGAATTTCATGGATTTAGCTCTCTGTCCTCGGAGTTTTCCAGAGACGACTACTTCACACCCTTTCGCTCCACTTTCCATGATGTACCTCAGGACACCATAACATGCTCTAAAAAAGATAAAGAATTTTTCTTTTTAAAAAAGAAGATCTAAACACGCAATCAACTTATACAATTGGAGCTTGAACGTTTAAGAAACTTCTTAACCTGTCTTTGGTGGAATGTCTTATCAGTTTCCAGTTATCAATCAAAACAGCTCTCTTAAAAATCCATTCATAATAAAACCCTTCATGATAGCTAATAGCGTTTTTGGAGCGGGCAAAAATGAGCTATTACCACATATTTTTACAGGGCAAGCAATCCAACAGCCGGACATACAGGGCACTTTCACTTTTGCCATACTTGCAAAGTTGAAAAATTCTCGCACCCTAGGCAATGCTACCGCCTGCGAATGGAACTTAGCTCCAAATCAACACCAGCATAATTTCCCTTGGCAGGAGAAAGGTCTTGGTTGCGATCATTACGATGGGGGATCCAAAATTAAGCAGATTTACGCTCCCCTATCTTAACGTTTTGTTATACAAACTTTTCTTATTAGAGGGTCAAACTAAGAGTAATTTGGAGTCACTTTACCACATTTCAACCTCCCACAACCCAGTTCTTTTTGAGATGGTTTTCTTTTCTGGAAGGAACTTGCAGAGGTTAGTTATTCCCCTGCACTTTTTGGCCCTCAGAAAAATCTTCCGAGAAAAACTGATAAAAGAGGTATAGTTTGGAATCCACTTTAAAATGCAACCAAATTAGATTCCAGCTTTCAGCAATCAATAGATATTAATAATAAATGTCACATACTTTCTGAAACACCCTGGCTAGTGAAAAGAACACCTAGAAAACTGACAAGCTTTTCAAGTGGCTCAACAGGAATAATTGTGAGCTAACAGGAGGCTGTGAAAGCGGTTGGTAAAGTAGCTCCTGACAATAGATTACATGGAGTCATAATGTAAATGGGAGAGCTGGCGCCATGTTTTGCGCGACGAGTTCCGAGCCCGGTGTGCGCCTAGCTTTGGTCACTTTATCGATACATATTCGATCCAAAATGGCAGCGTGGAACTATCTTCTTTGTCTTCATCCGATAGCCAGGTACCGATGTACCGAAAACAATCGATTATGTATCGAAAAAGTGACCCGACGTCACACAGGAGTCTCGGGATTCAGGACCTGGAAAATGCTTAAATGTGGCGCAAGCTCTCCCACTTACATTATAACCCTATGTACTATCCTAAACTACTAACTACCCATTTTTGATTTACACAACAATATCCTGAAAATGGGAAAATATGTCTCTTAGTGGTGTAAAAATGTTTAGCAAAAACTTACACCACTAAGATACATACCTCTGATAAGCAAGAAAAACAATGAGAAAATATCATCACTTTCGATACGGGTGGGAATTTTGGTAAAAACTGATGGACGAAATGTGGAAAACTGAAACTTTCTGCAATCTGAGTCAGTCTTTGTATTTTTGCCTTTCCCCTTCAACCAATGGATCGTAACAACCCAAATAAGTCGTCATTCTCCTTGTTAATCAGATACCTTGACCATGGATCTCCCACAGGCAATCTAAAAAAGAACAAATGTCGCATATCTGACGTCTTCCTGAATAAAACATCAGTAAGCCAGTAATCAATGCTTCCATTTTTTCCCTCTGAATTGTAAACATCTAACAGGGCAAAGAGAGCAACCTATTAGAGACAACAAGAGGTTGGATTCTGATTATCAAAGGGATATTTTTCGCCTATCAAAATGGTGCAGTAAAATTAATTTTATTGATTTAGTTATTGTTCAAGATGCAAAAATAAGACAAATTGGTTGAGCATAGTAAACAGATTAATTAGAGGCACACAGTGGGTAAGTTTTGTTAGTATCACTTAGGTTCAGCAGCTAACCTTTTCGAATTTACACAGATTATTATTCTATGAGCTTGTACATGAAAAAGTGTTTTCAAGTCTCAAAAGCTAAAAACTGTTTTTTCAAATGAAAAAGAGGCTTAAAATAAAATTGTGAATAGAATGTTTATCACTGGCCCAAAGCTTATGATGTCATATGAGGCGGCAACTCATGGCTTTTAACCACCTTGAATCCAATGGAACGTGACCGCCGAGTGGTGCAAATTATTTCATTCCCAAAAGCCCACATAAATGACCATTTCAAGCAATGATAATAGTTATTACTATCACAGTTATGACTCATAACCTCTCAGTACAATTGCAACCTAATGAAAATAATCAAACTTGGGTGAAAGGTTGGGCAGTGATTAATTCTTTCCGTGAAATGACAAAAACTGTGGGTGGTGTTTTTTTCTGCTTGTAACGGGGTTTAGATATTAGACAACTTTGAAAGTCATTTATGCGGCTAAAATTTGATTATTTGAAAAATGAAAAAATGCAGGCATGCTCTTTTGCTAAATGCTTCAAAAGAATAAATTAAAAAACTGTGAAACTGCCCTTTTCATAATTCCATTAACGCGATTTTGTTTTTGCTCCCTGACTATTGCCAACTTCTGTAGGCTTTTAGGCAAATTCCTAGAAGAGATAAATATCACTGACATAAAACTAATAATCACTGATAATGGGAAAGATGTTTACCTTCGGACAGCTAAACCTCCGATGAGTTTGTACCGTAACGATTCAGCCTGAGCAATTGCACATAGACCTCTCGTTTCAACTTTTTCAGCATACAATTCAATGCCAGGAGTGCTGTGGCTATCGGAGATACCGAAACGCCTCTTCAGGACAGCTGTCAGTTCTCTGATGCGTCTGCCTTTTTCTCCAAGGACACTTTGTGTTCGTGTTGCCATGATGATGATATCCATTTTGTTGTTCGTGTTACGAACATCCACTCCAGAGTAACCATCTTCAGCGAGCTCTCGAGTTAGAAACTCGTTCAGCTCTGCCTTAAATACTCCTGATGCCACATACTGAAAAAATAAACACATAGTAATTTAATTGATACGCAAATAGGTCAGAGTAAATTGTAATAGAATTGTTAAATACAAACATAGACAGATAAGTTAGGAAAGTAGGGAAGAGAAGAGTTGAGTAGGAACTGTTCCCGACAAAGTCTTATTCATAACTGTTGCCGAAGCGTTCGTTTACCTCTCACCACCTTTGGTTTTTGTCCTACAGACTCCAAAACCATGTAAAAGCAAGCGTGTTGTCCTCCATACCAAGCATTTTTAATATCTTACTTTTCGGTCTCCTTCATCTTGTTCAGCAATTTTGCACCTTATCATAGAATTGGACTGACTTTTGACATCAATGGTCTGAGATTCCTGAGTATAGAGTAAATTAACACGAGTCGGTGTTTCGATAATTCTCAAAGGAGGAAGAGCGATCAATTTACGATACGAGCTACTTCCTTCGTAAAATTTAGATATAGCAGATGGATGAGGGGTATGCTTAAACCAACCATCCTCAACAATAATTCCCAATACTATACTAATAAAATACTATTCAAAATTAATAATTACGTAAAACTATAGTGCGCTAGATTAGGACATGACAGCCAGGACGAGCCATCTGGCTTTGACAACATGGGCATGTCGGAGGAGCGGAACAATTTACCTATGGGGTACTCATGCATGAAACAACGACCTTTTTAATTGGCTGCTGGAAGGCATCGCTGTAAGACAGTCCTGTGTTATGAAACGTTTCGGGGAAATACCGTCTCAGTCCAGATAAAATAAATTTTAATGTAAAAAGCTTAGCAGTTGAAGGAACAGGCTTTCTTTTGAGGTTATGGTGGCAACCAAAGGATGTGAAGGCGATGTAAAATTAGAGTGGGCGCTGGAAGAACAAAGAAAATTTGTTTGCTAAACTATGGATGTAAGTGAAAGTTGATGAGAGGGTAGGATTATAACGAAAAAATTGTAAATTACGATTGGGCGGTATTAGACAACGTGCACGCTCATATACATGGCGAGGTGGCATGGGCACGGGTAACACGAGGGATTCGCGAGAAATTAGGACAATCTAAGTTTGGGAAATGGATGAGAATATTTTCTGGATACTTACCTTCTTTTGAAGTGAGATTTTCGAAACAGAACACATGATTGATGATAATTAAACTAAAAAATCAACAAAAGACACAGATTATCGGTCTTCACCATGGCAGAAAGAGGCTGATCGAAAAATACAGCGGAGACATGAAAGGTTTCCTGAGTGTGTGACGGGTGACGTCACAGACTTTAACCTTCAAACAGAGTTGGATGAACCAATGAGCGCAGAGACATGAACGCGGGAATTTATGAATTTGCGGACCTTCGACTCACGGAGCGCATATTGTCAATATGATATGATATTGAAATGGGGGATATGAATATAAACCGACTTTAATCACTGTAATAACAAGGTTTATTTTCATTCACAAAATTGCTTCGGCGATGACACTAGAGTTTCTTTTAACTCCTAAGGCAGAAATTTCAGAAATGCGTCTATCGGTTTTCTACACTTTAGACATTCCCATCGTCCCTTACTTTCTACACGAAACACTACAGAACGTCAATACTTTATAACTTCGGTGCTTTTAGGTCCTTGCCAGAAGAAATTTCTATAGGATTTCAAAATGCTGATTCTGTCTCCTCGTAAAAAATAAAATGAGAGCAGAAATTTTGGACGAAATCGAGGTATGCATTTTTGCACTTTCACCTTCGACAGAGTACCTACTTTACGTTGCATGAGCGCATGAAAATGACAAATTTTAATTAAGTAAATAAAAAGGAAAGGCAAGTGCGTTTCTAAGTAATTTTTCTCATTTATATTTATTCGAGCAAATAAACCTTCATGATATGGTAAACTCCTCTTCAACCAGCTAGATTTGGTAACTCGTTCCTTTTTTTTTTTAATTATATTAAATACTCCAAGCTTCCTACTTTCGTGCAACGACAACATACGAATGCAATGGGTGACACATCTTACTTTCACGAGCGGAAAACAAGAATGCTTTTCGGCTTTTTCAATGGCGAATGCAACTATTTAAAATCGCGGGTTTATCATGCCATTGCAGCGTTGAAAAATGGTACAAATTGCGGAAATGTTATCGGAAGTAATTTGAGGGATTCACATCCGCGATGCCTTTGTGAAAATGTTCAAGTGTAAAATTTGCACACTTTGGTTACGCTCCCATAATGCAATACAGCTCATTCGAACTTTAAGGATTCCATGGTACTTAAACACGATTGTAAATGCAACGCAGAAACCTCTAAGGAAGGGAAGGAGGTAATAACCGCAGCCTTACAGGAGACCAGAGCGCCTTCAATTTTTAATGTATGCAACGCGGACATCCCGGAGACATGAAAAGTTGCATCCAAACCCAGCCATTCTTGAAGCCAGACCACCTTCAATTTTTTCCGCTTGTGATAACAAAACGTGTCTTTCATTGAAGTCTTACACTCATACGTTGTCGTTGCACGAAGATACGGCGGTTTTAAGATCCCAAATAGCATGGGGTTCTAATTTCTGTCTAGCAATAATTTAGAAATTTTCCATTTCTAGACAGAAAAATAAAATAGAAAAAAAATAGATGTATCAAGTAGAAGTAAGAAAATTATTAAAAAACTTCTGTTTTCTGTCTATTACAGACACTAAATACAAGGAAAACAGACAATTTTGTTGTCTACATTCTGTGTTTATTCTACCTGTTTTCTGACTTTTAAATTTCTAAGAAATAATTAAAGAAAATATCCAATTTTTCTCTATTTTTCATCAGGTTTTTGAATATCTTCCCTTGAGGAAATAGCCCTATCAATTTTATAGATGGAAAATAGATCCAATTTGCAGACAGGAAATATACCTATTTTCTTCGGTAAATAGTGACACTCACTTTAAATTTTCTGTCTACTTTCCATAGTGCTAGCTACTTTTTCCTTATTTTCTAAATTTTTTTCATTAATTTTATTTTCATAACATATTTTTATTTTGCTACTTGGTATAATCAAATTGAAAAAAAGAAATTCGTGAATTAATAATAAATATAAAAATGAAATGGAGACTATTCATGCAGCAAGTAAGAAAAAATTAAAACTTGTATTCTGGTAATTTCTCCTTTTTTCCGAATGTAACGTTACCAAATAGTGCAATATGCGGGACCGTTGTCGGCCAAAACACAGCAGAATCACGACCTATCGTGATCATCATTCTTTGCAGGGTGAAAGCTTTAATTGGATTACAAAATTCCTTGACTTCTCAAATATTTTACCTTAAAAGTTCCCGACTTTTTCCTGGCTTTTCAGTGTTTTTTTTGGCGTGGTTTCTGATAAAAGTTTTAATCACAAAGAATTCTGAGCGTAAATCTTGAAAGTGGGTCCCCCCAGGTAGGCGACGGAGAGGGCGTCCAGCCAAACGGTGGGTAGAGGGCATCCATGAAGAGATGGAGAGATGCCAGCTTCCGGAGGATCTCTACCATGACAGATTCCTGTGGAGAATAGGCGTCGCAGAGCGCCCTAGCGCGCCGTAAAAGCGGCTCATACATACATAAATCTTGAAAGTGAAAAAATGCGATGTTTTGGTAGGAGGAAAAATTTCTGCCATAAAATTCCCTAACTTTTCCAGCCTTAACGGGTTTGGGCAAAATTCTTTCAGACTACTTCAACGATTCTTCTTTCTTTAGGTTGTGGAACCTTGTATTTTCTGTTTATTAAAAACCAATATTTTAAAACCATCTAAGGCGACTTGGAGCCTTGAGCAATACGTAGAAACTTGCATTCATAAAATATGTAATGCTCTAAGGGCAGGCAGGAGGGTTGAGGAGATCCTTACGCCATTTTTTCTTTTTTCTTTTACATGTAAAAAGATAGGGACCTATGTTTGAGAGGCTTTGTAGAGGGAGAAGAGGAAGTTCAAGCGTTAAAATTTAGTATTTCTTATTTTGTGAACAGATCCTGAGTGGATTACCTACATACTGGAGGACAAATACAAATATGGAGCTCTTGGGGCCCAAAAGGACAGCCAACCTTCCGACACGAAAAACTTTAGAAAAATGTAGCTGCCACCTTCATGTTCAAATTTCAAACCAAAATGACCAACTATGTTTATAAAGGAGCGTTCTTCTGCAAAAATGAGGAAATGCATGTGCAAAACAAAGTCTAATAGGTGTCAAAATTAGATAATTTTTGAAATAGCAGGTAGCAACAATTGTAAATATATATAACTCTGGATGATTTGAGTACATTGGTTGGCTGTCTTTTTGGGCTCTAAAAGCTCCATGACCCGATCAAACCTAGCCTCAGAAATTATTGACGTTTCCGTGCTCTACCTATCTAGATACTCTATCCCTAACAGGGAGATGTGACAAATTCCATACCTTAATAAAATACATTTCAGGTGCAAAACTGGTAGAAGATGAATGAAAATCAAAACAAAAATTACAGAATAGATCATTTACTTACTAACTTAAAGAAGTCACAGTAATAATAAAAACTGAAAACTTGAATAAAAAAAAAAAACACTCAACAAACATGAGATTGAAAATGAAAAAAGCTACCACATTGGTCAGAGGAAAATTGTAGGATTGTATATTTCATTGTGCACAGCACAAACCTATCTAAAAATTCATGGAAAAATCTACAATGAGAAAGAGGCTACTATATCATACAACCTAATTCAGGAGATGGGAGTTCTTAAAATGGACAAAGAAAAAAAGCTACCTTTTGGAATGGAAAACAAAAGAATCAGAAGTAAATGAAAATTTTGGGAAATATGTTACTGAAGATGAGCAGTATGCACACTATATCCTGGCTTCCTGGATTGATGCTGTAGCTTTCTACTTTCCTATACTCTTTCTATTTTTGTTAACGTTTCAAAGATCTTCTACTTTTGTTAATTACAAAGGCTAGGGCAATGCCAAGTTACGCTTCACCTAAGACAAAGGTTCCTTTTGGGGCAACTTTTAAACCATTTTAAAATGGAACCGAACAGAGGGTTCACCCTGACACTAAAAACGTAAGAAAAATATTTTTAATAATTCGAGGGTAAGTACTCCCACCCACCCCTACCAGGGTGGTGGATGCCAATGTGCCAGCTGAGCATGTCTAAAGAACAAGTCAAGAAAACAGTTTCCTCTTTAGACAGTTAATAGCAATAGACATCACAACAAGAAAACAAAACCATTTTAGGATTGAAACACGGCATCGTTGTAAGTTCTACGACGTTATGAAATGATGATGGTACTGAGGAAAAATTGGTAAACAAACGAAGACTGTGCATGGCCATTCACAAAAATTAGTCGGTAAAAATATTGCTGGAAAGTAAGAGAATTGAAACATTGCAGTAGAATGTTCGTACAAGGAAATAGAGGAAATGAATCAGAGTTCCACTCACAAGCTGAAGCTATCAGACTTGGAGATTTTTCCGAGTGAGAGGAATCTTCTTATTTCCTCCAGTAATTAAGTTCCGTTTCATTGAAAAAACTAGAGAAGAAGTGTAAAGGTACTCAAGTAACACTGTTACTTTGTTGCTTACCCAGTAGTATAATCAATTCATGCAGTAAAAGCCTACAGTTAGAAAAACAAGAATGGAGGAATAAAAATCATGATTGAGAAAGATTGCATTTAAATGTACTTAAAATTAACGATAAAAAATTACCCCTAATGTTAACATTACTGATGCCATTTATAAATAATTTTCACAAACCAATTCCAACAAAATGATCATGAACATCGAAATAAGCAAATTTTTAATGAAACAATATTTGAATTAGTGAGAACGAAAACACACCAACTCGGTACTTCGAAAATGCTCAACTTCCATTGAAGACAATTAATTTACATAAAGGTCATTGAAGTTAGCGCATCTGTTCCAACTTGGACCTTTAAAGTGACCATAAATATTTGTCTTTCGGATGCAAAAGTCTTTTCCTTAAACTAACTTCTTCACCTACAGTGCAGTTTTATGAGTGTCTTGATAATTTTCATTTTTCCGAGTTGGTGTGTTTTCGTTCTCACTGATTCATTTATACAAGCATACACTGAGATAAACTGAAATGAAAAAAGGGCAAGAGGAGCTTCCACCAAAATTAATAATCTCTTTATCGATTGAAAATTAGATTACTTTGCGATTATAACAAGAGCAGTGTAATAATTACGTAATAAACTTAATGCATTAAGTGCCTTCAGGTAAAAAAAAAATTTCATCAATTGATAAACAAATTAAATATAAAAAAAAGTTCATTGATTCACTTTTTGTAACAGTGAAGGGAATTGAGAATTTGAAAATGGTAGTGCCACTTCCATTTTTCACAATGAACTTTAACCAATGAAGTTGAAACAAGGAAAATTTACGGCCAACAAGTTTTTTCTTTTCTACTTTCAGTCGATTTTTTTTTAATTTACTTATTTAATCGCTGAATCACAAGGTTGTCTCCACATTGTCACTCTTGTGCGCATTATGTTGAATAAAATACTGACACTTTAACACATATCGAAAACTTTGATGGACACTATGAAACCATTTAACTGAAAATATGGAGTTCTCAGAAATATGAACATATGTTATCTTCAGTTTCTCTTCAAAATGAAGTATTGCACGACAAATTTAAATCAAATTAGAGGGATCTTAGAGGCTATATTTTGATTGTGACACCCCAGATTCATAACATCAGTTAAATGCAGGAATAAGTATAGATTATAAATATTTTGGCTACGTAGGTTTGCTTTGGAATTCAAAAAAGCAGTAGAAATCTTTCCCAGCTTTAAATAAACGCAAGAGTTAACAGTGCAGTAAGTCTTGATACCTCCCCTGCATGTGTTTTGCTTTTGACTTGGGAATTTAACTACATGATATTTATATAGAAATTCCTTGTTCAATAAACATTGGGCAGTGTTTTGAAAATTATGTAATTCAAATGTTTCCAGAACAAATTGATGCCTTTTTTTTAGTCAAGCACAAATGAGATAATCTAAAGTCCATGAGGATATTTTGGATGAATGTTTAACTGCTGATAACAATACAATTTTTTTAAGGAGAAGTCCTATGATGAAAGTAGGTTTAACCTGATCAAAGTACTGATAAAATAAGAGAAGTACCTAACAAAATAAAATCACGGTTCAACATATTCATTAAAATTAAAATCGATTAAGTAAAAAAGATGTTTTTAATATCAATCAAATAAAAAATGCAAGAAACAGGATTTTAACATGAAAGCTTAAAAAATGACCTACTTTAAAGAAAATAGAAAAGAAGAGTAAAGAAAAAATAAAACAAGAGAAAAAAATACAGTTAAAATTAGATAAAGAACTTATTATGAGGCAGCTTGCTCTTGAGGTGCGATTTTGCAGGTGAATGCAATACCTGAGTGAAGAGCATTGCGAATAAATGGAGGTATACTTTCTTTGTTAGCAATGGCTTCGGTGTACACTCTTAATTCTCGGAACATGTTGCGAGTGTACGGATTGCGCCGTGAGACATAACGACGAGCAAGGAAACGGTAATAAATGAACGGAGTCAAAAGACCAGTTCTTCCTCTGTAAAAAAGAAGAAAATATGGTTTTATTAGTGAAGCTGACATCTGTTTGATGAAAATTTTTTTGGGATCACACTTTTTGGAGAGGCTTAAAAAAGATTGCAATTTCTACAACAATACTGATTCCATTGAATAAGTATAATAACAACAATGGGCCATCTCTCTTTTTTTGAGCAGGGTTGGATTAGGTAAAGGGAGGGTTACATGGGTAGCAACCCGCAGTGGCAAACTACGGAGACGAATAGAAGTAATCGTCTTTTCTTTTTTTCTTTTCTTTTCTTTTTTTGTTTGTTTTTGGATTCTTAAGCCTGCTAAGGTCATCTGTTTTGGAACCTTGGGCCAGCAGACTGTTGAAGGCTCAGAGAAAAAAAATCATAAATTCAGTCCTGAGCATGAGTTTCCGGCAAAAAAAAAAAAAAAATCAGGTTTCCTTGTGGGTATGTAGATGTTAGGCCAAAAAATAAGAATTAAGTAGGATCCCTAGGAGAGGACTGTTATAATGTGAAATTCAACAATGCATCATATCCTTGCAGTTGAACCTAGCTTGCATTTGAAGAACTCAAGCTTGACTAGCCTCTGTTTTCCGTTTTCAAGTTTCCCCACCCCCAAATAATACATCCTCTTTCAGCAGTGGATGGTCTTTCATATTAGCAATGCTGCTTCCAAGCTGCACAAGCCCAAAAACTTTTAAAAAATTTAGAAATTGAGTAATTTTTTTCAGTAAATTTTGTACTTAGGCCATTATCAATTTATTTTTTCTCTTCTATACTCCTTTCATGAATATTGTAATGTCAAAGCATGCTTTACTTTCATTAATGGATATTGGCTTCTCAAAAAAATAGATTCTTCCAATTCATACATAGATGCATTGATAGTCAATTTCTATGCATTGTATTTTCTTGGAGATATTAATGAAAAGCCAACTTTGAACAATTTTATTGGCCTCCTGAGAAAATTGCGTTGGAAAAAGGAGATGAAACATTTTAAAAGTATATTGATGTTTCGATATTTCGTTCACTTGGGAAAGTAAAAATGTGATAAAGTCACAACATTTAGTTTACAACATGAACTTGTAAATCGACGATGATGATCGAAAATGATACATATGAGACACTCACATGTCACAATCAAAATGGCTGTTTCATCTTTGATAGAATAACAGGTGGCAATGGTTATTTAGATATATGCAGATGATAAAAAGCTTCTTGAATATATTCATTTGCTTGTTCTTTCATCTTGACACTGAACAGCACTGTTTGGACTTTTGTTCATTGCGTAGAAAGCATTTTGATAATAAAAAGGGAAATGTTGCCAGCGTATTTCTTGTACACAAACTCAACATATCAAGCAAGCTTTTACTATAACCAGATATTTAAAACTAAAAATTTAAAAAATTGTTATACTTACAAAATTAATAAAACTATACACAGAGGCATTAAGAAAATTTCAGCAAAGGAAATGAGACGCAAGATATTTCTCGACTGGAACTCGACTAGAGAAATGAGAATCCTGGCTCCCCACCATGAATTTTGTCCAAGAGCCTGTTCAAGATTAGAAAGAAAAAATTGTTTTAGGTAAGCACTTAACTAGAACTACCCAAGAGGGCGTAAAAAATACTTTTACATTAAGGCTTTGCCAATCTACAAGGTGGTTTTGATGAATACAAAAACTTTTGAGAGATTGACTTTCTGTCTATTAGCATGGGTGGTCTGATTTAAATCACAGTTCTCTTTAAAATCCATTCATGGAGCAAAAGCTGAAGCTATGAAGTGAGACAGAGGCGTTTCCAAGACTTAAAAAATCCAGACAAATATGCGTTTTTTGCAGTGGCTTCTTTAAAAAACATTTTGGAGGGCTCCCTTTAAATATTATTTCTGAGATCCTTCCAGTCATTTACAAAAAATGTAAGCTATCCATTATGTGAGCATCAAGCGCCAATAAGCTTTTTCTGCACAGAAAAACTACGGATGGTTCAACGCACTGCACCGAAATATTTTTTAATGATTAAGATCTCATGAGCTTTGTATCATCTTGATCTAATTTTGTTCTTTTACAAAAGTAAAAATTAAAACTTAAAAAAGTAAAGCGGCTTACGTCAAGTAGCGTCAATGAATAACTGGCAAAGTGAATCAATGAGAAGAGGAATACAGGCAGGAGAGCCACTAAAAAATCTGTTAAGGAAACACTGAAACTTTTCAAATGAAAATCATTGGTTAACTAGGGTTTTTCTTAAGTTAAGCATTTTGTTTCACTAACTTACATTAACCCAAAAATTGATAAGGGCCAAAAATACAATTTCAATAAAAGGTGAGGACAGAAAGAAAAGTGTAGAAAGAGAGATTGTGATAAATGGTCCAGTTTATAAGTTGGAGGAGAGCTTAACTCCAATTCTGCAGAAAATTGTTGTGTTTAAAATTAATAACCAAAAGAAAGAAATGGAATCATAAACTGTTTTCTGAGAGTGAGTGTCTGAAAGGGAGGAAATCACTACAGAGGACTACGTTCATTCATATTCTTGAAGATGTTCGGTCATGATAAGGTTTCTGACTGTCATGGCATCAATCCGCAGCTTCCCATGATTTTGAAAAGATTAATTTTCAACAGCAAATCTAAGTTATCGTTCTGAAGATATTGGTGATACCTGCTAGTTATCTAGTTATCAACCTACTTGTTGTTGCTGGGTATGATACGAGGGTCTCTCAATAAGGAAGTTTAGCTATTTATTTGCTTGGCGAATATTACAGACAGAGAAAAACTGTAAGAAGTCTTTAATTAGTCACACTATCAGCTTAAAAAAACTATATTCAGTTCTTAAATTTGACCCAGGGGTCGCTGAGATATTCAACTTTTACTGCACCCATCTCCTCTCACCGTGGGTCTAATTTTTCTATTGTTGTGGCATTGCAAAGGTGGCATTATCAGGTTGCGAAATTAAGTCAACTGTTTGGTGGGATGCCAAAGTGATGTTGCTAGTTGACTATCTACCACATGGTGTGACCATTACGGCAGAAAAGTAATGGAAAGTCCTCGAATGGCTCAGAACTTGGATTAAAAGGAAACGAACAGGCTTCTAAGCTGAAAAATATGGCTCCTACATGACAAATCCAGCCCCTGTTTGGCAAGAATTCCTGAAAATTTATTGAAAACGTTCAATTGACACATTTTTTCCACAGCCACCTTATTTACTAAGCTTGGCTCCAGGTGATTTTTCCCTTTTCTCTCAACTCAAATCGGAACTTGGTGGACATGCTCAGTCTTTGCTGTCAAAGACGACAAAGAGGAGATGAAACACGTCAATAGTTGACTCCTTAGTCAGACAATAGCGCTCTTTGCTGATAGGATTGAGAAACTGGTACTGGGCTATGAAAAGTTCATGGAAAGTGAAGGAAGTTACATAGAGAACTGAACCTAAGTGCTTTTATCTTTAAATTTCCTTTTGGAGAGTGCATTTTGGATGCCGCAAAATGAAATGACCTAAGGCACAAAACGCGCCTAAAAATCAAACTTGCGGCGAGAGGAGATGGGTGCAAAAAAAGTTAAATATTTCAGCAACTCGGGGGTCAAATGTGAAAAACTGCAGCTCGTTTTAAAGCTAAGAGTATGACCAATAAAAGATTTACTTACAGATTTGCTCTCTTGATAATATTCGCGGAGGAAAAAAATAGCAAAACTTACTAATAGGGTGACCTTTGTAAATGGCATCTGTTATGATGGAAAGTATTTTAAAGGCGTAATGGGTACACATTTAGAAAGTTGTTAATTGTTATTGCTACATATTCTTCTTCATTTTTATATTAGCCTATAAATTCACAAATTTGACTTGTGTGGGTCAATCATGCCGCCAAAATGTACTTTGAAAAATTTTTTTAGGTGAAGAATAGCTTTAATTTCTCGTACCACTTAATTTAGAAACCTTAATCTTTTCAACAATTTATCAGTTGCTGAATTTTGAAGCTATCCCTTTTATTGCTTAAAATGATAGTGAGACTCATTCTACGGTATCGACATTCTTTCCAATCTTTACCAAACATTTGGTAGCACATGGTGAAATCCTCTTTTCACGTGCGCATTACTTTGGTGATCTTGACATCCATGCGTACAAGAATACCACTGCCATGCTGAAGAAGAACGCCATATTAGCCTTCAGGCGTTGCCAAATTTCTCTTAAATATATGAGAATCTTTAAGCAAACTTGTGCATAGTTTCCTTCCAATTTACAGAGGATATTATTCACAATTTTATCCGAAGTATCTGAAAATTTCAAGGAAAAATACTCATGATTTTCCTTGGAAATAAATATTCTATCACAAGAAATTTGGCGACCTTGAAATGTTCAAACAGCGGTTTTCATAAGGACTGTAGAGCAGGCCACAGCAAGTTGCTGCTTGTCTCTCTTCTCCCCGTTTGGCTACAGAAGATTTCAGCGCACACCGCTGTAGTTTATTAAATGACTGTTTAAAAAGGATACAGGCCACAGGCGTGGAGTAGATGAAGATGAGTGAGAAAAGAAGGTAGTGAGCACTGTCTTCATTCCATAGCTGATTGAAGAACTCGGCAGAGAGGGAGACCCTTGGTAGCCTTTGATGGAGCCTCAGAGCACTTGTAGCTGCATTCGCCAAAAGAGCACGGTGATAAGCACTGTATGGGTTCCTAAAAATTTAAAACATAAAACAGAAATATTAGATAATGTACTTGAGGAGCAACAGTCCTGGATAAATAGCTTTAAGCTAAACAAACAGGATTGACAGACACACTAACATTCTGGTGAGCCCTCGAGTTCATGAGCGTGCTCTTATGTTAGACGTCATCGGAAAAAGTAAATGCATTCTAGCATCAATTCAATTACAAGATAAACTCTGAGGAAAAAAAATGAATTAATTCTTTTTTTAAAGCATCACAAGAAGAACCCTAGTAGCAGTGGCTGTTAAGAAAAAATGTAAAAAACTCGTAAATTTTAAGAAAATTAAAGTTTACTTCAAAACCACTGTATTATGTACAAAAATTTTTGAAATATTCGTATCAGGAAACCCTTTATGGGGCTTTTTTTTACATAAAATTGAAGAAAAATTTTAAGTTAATTTTTTTACCTAAATTTTAAGTAAAATTTACGTTTTTTCTTATAAACTTCCTGCAGGCAAAAACGAGGGGAAATGGAATTCCCTGACATTTCCCTGATTTCCATGACACATTTTGCATAAATTCCCTGACAATTGAAGATGTGACGGATGGTTAAATAGGCATAAATGAAAAAAGTTTTCACGTTAAAATTAGTTGTTTGAAACCTCAAACCCATTCTAGAAAGCAAATGAAGGTGATCTAACAAATTTTCCCTGACTTTTTAAAATTCCCTGACATTTTCCGGTTTTCCCTGACTGTGGCAACCCTGTGAAGAAACGCTAGATCGTAGTAGAAACAGTTGTCTTAATACCCGAGTAAGATCAACTGAAGAAATTGTACGTCGTAAACTAAAGAAAAGCCGAAGAGCTTCAAAATATTAGCTTTTTTTAAGGGGCACATCTTTTCACTCAGGTAGAACGAGACAGGACAGGGCTTTGCATGCTAATATCTCGGTCAGAGTAAGCAACGCATCCAATGTTGTTGATAATCACGCCTTTATAGAACTGTTCGTCCTTTGTGAACATGCGTGTTGCATATGAAAAAATGGAAGGCGCTTCGGTCACCCTGTTCCTGTTAACGATGCACGCCGTCGTTCCGAATATGCGACAAGATGAAATTCTCCTACGAAAACTAAGGCAATGTGACAGGGAATAATGTATTCGCACCATTTTCACATATTAGGATATCCTTTTGCCATACAGAGCCGTGACAAGCTGCAAGCGGCCTCTGATTCATGGGATAGAAGGACCGAAGCGCCTTCAATTTTTAGAACGCAACAAGGATGTCCGAAGACCACGAATAGTTGCATCAAGGATTCAAGGCGTTATTACCGATAACATTGTCGTATGCTCGGTTATCAATACTGAAGCGTTGAGGATAAACATCGTATGTACAGACAAGCGTTGCAAAATTTCCTCCAAACAAATACGCGTTCCTTGGAAAACTTGTTAGCTCTTATTTTTAATTTTTAGAGAATTTTGTTCTTGACTAGATAGCGGACGGGACAGTAAAAAACATCGACCCGAGTGGTAGAAAACTGAAATTTCAAAAATGAAAAATCTTTGATGTTTATTTGGAGAAAGTTGAACGTATAATACATCGACAGAAACGTCAAATCCTAAAAACAGCCAGTCGAGGACATAATTTGGCCGAAAAATCGGCTGAATTCGGAAAAAATACAAATACCTAGTTTTGATTCCTCATGTTCTTTTCTGCACGAAATGAAAAATCAGTCTTCATCGGACGTCTGATTGGCTTAAAAAAAGCGGGGGAAAATCAGGTGATCACAAACTCGGGTTATTCGATGCGGGTTCTTATTTTCTCTTTGGGAAGAAGGAAGAAAAATAGAAACATTTCTTGTGGCGTAGTCCAATTGGACTTCAATTTACACTTAGGAACTACGATTTCAGACACAGTTTAGTAAAAACGTATGTATCATCAGTTTCCTTATGCACATAAGTGTTTTTATAGAAGAGCCGGAAATTGTAGTTCCTCATTGCTAAGTGTAGTTCAACTGATGATTGGAAAAAGAAAGGGGGTATAACAATAATGGGCAGTGACAGAAAGAGAGCGAGCTTTTCTTTAGAAGGAGGCTTATTCCGTTCAGTTAGTTAGACTCAGAATAAAAGAAAAGCGCGTGAGAAGGGAACCTGTTTCACTGATAGTGAGGTGCCAAGGATATCCACTAACTTCCTCATATCATACGGATATACGACTCCATACTCCAACTCTGCCTTATGCACGGAGAACGGTTAATTTTAGCAATTATTACTTTATCACTGTTGAGCATCACGCGGCTGATGCATTCATACAGACTTAATTTAATTTGTTTCGCGAAGTCTTCGGCATAAGCAGCTTCGTACACAAGGAAAAAGGTTGTGATTTTGCAATTTCTTTGTATGTATTTTCTCACGCATGATTAACATTTGAAAACGTGTAACCGAGAGATTCCTTCCCCTCTTTCCTCCTTTTTCTGAATATGATACGACACTGATAAAAAAAAAAAAAAAACAAAGAAAAAAAAACAGAAATATTAAAACGTATTTTCAATTGAGAAAAATTAAATTAAAATTACCTATGGTGGAAGGAATCTAAAGTATCCCACCTGATTTAAAAACACTTTAAATACAAATCTAAATATCTAAATTTGGAAGAGTGAGCGCAAGTGAAAATGAGCATTATTAATTACAGGAAAATAAAGTGTGTTCACTAATTCTTCATTAAAAGTGACCTCTTCATGCAGATTTTTATTCTTCTTCAAAAACGGGAGGATATTTTAAAGAAAAAGAAAGAAAGGGAGAAAACTGTGGAGATGAAATATTATTTAAAGATGCCCAAACATCGATAAGAAAGAAAGATAGAGGGAAAAAATCATGTCAAGGTTATGGAGGGAGGAGATAACATACTCGGATACTTACCCAAAGATTGGAATGAAATAGTTGAGGGTGAAGGTGATTGTGAAAAGTCTCGTGAACCAAAGAGCTACGTCCAATTTGTGTTCAATGCAATGCTTTTTGATTGAGTCCCATCCTTTCGGAGGCGTCGATTGATTTGCATCTCCCATGCTTCACGCTGACCTGAACAAACAACATAAAAATATTTGATTGATTTTGAAACCGAATTTACAAAAGGATATTGGAGACCAGCGGCCGAATTATTGATGTTAGTGCCGTGGCGTGCTTTATGATAAGTCGATTGATCGGCCATTTAAAACTATGGAAAAGTATCGATAAACAGGATGTTCCCAGCGAACACCTGAATAATCGATTATTTACCACAGCTTCGAATGGAGAAATATCGATAGATCGCAAAGCTCGCCACGCCACCAATTGATATTGCAAGTCACCGCGACAAGACATTAAAATTCGATAGAGTTCATGCCTAAGACAGGGATGTGCCTTGTCTTGCATTACTAACATAGGTTCAATAAGAGGCAAAAATCGGTGGTTGTAGGAAAAAACCGCATGGATGTGGCAAAACCGCGACAATTTGTATGCAAAGTAATACGATCCTCATCATTTTGTACTTACTGATTGTGAGAAAAGCGAGGTTTTTAAAATGGGAAGGCTGAGTAGTTGCCCATTTTTTCTTTTTTTTTTCAATTAGATTTACAATTCAAAGGGCTCTATTCTCGCGCAACAGCGACATACGAATGCAACGAGTGACCCACTTCATTATCACAAGCGGGAAAACAAAAACACGCGCCGCGCCAGCAACTCCAGCTATTTCAATGGCTGAGTCTGCATGCAACTATTCGTGTTCTTGAGATGTTCGTGTTGCATACTCAAACATTGCAGGCGCTTTATTTTTCTTGGGTACAACGTATGGCTGCGCACGTTTGTTAGTTCTCAAGGGTTTTCAACGTTACGTTTACAGTCGTATTTGCCACGAAATCCTCGAAATTTGGACGAGTCTTGTAGCACCATTGTAGCGTTACGAAATGATGCGAATTGCAAAAATGCTATCGGCAGTGATTTGCGGGATTGACATCCGCGATGCCTTCGTGGAAATGACCCGCAAAACGTACACAATCTGGCAACGCTGCCGTGATGCAACTCGAGAACTCGACTCATCCGAATCTCGAGAATTTCATGGCCAGCACGATTGTAAATGCAACGCAGGAAACTCACAGGAAAATTCTCTGAAAAATCGTAAGAAAAATATTCACAATCCTCTCAGAAAATTCGCTGTACCTACATCGAAGGAAATTCGGCAAGGTCTGTCGGCCTGTACGGGGTTCCTCTTTACCACGGTACATAATCTCTGTACCCTGTGCCGCGTGCTTGTGAAGAGTGTGACGTATTAGTTGCGCGAACCAATCAGAGGTGAATTCTGCCAAAACGCCGTATGAACATTCGAGAGTTGCCAAATTTCCTTCGATAATTTTTTTTTTTTTTTCCGGAGAATTCGTGATTTACCAAAGGAAATTTGGCAACGCCAGAAGGTTCATACGGCGTTCTTCCTTAGCACGGCAGAATGGGTGCTAGGTCCGCACTAGTTCTCTTCTACCATTGATGGACACTTAACGTTGGCCTGTCGTGCTCAAAATAGTTGTATAAAACAGGTTTGTGACGTCACCTCGAATGAAGGATATTACAAAATGAGAAAGCAGGGGGAGTGAGATAACGAAATTTCCAAAATTATTTCATCGATCGACCGCTTAGCATTACAGAGGCCAGATCTGCTACAGCCAACCGATCGATGCATCTTATGAAGCATGAATTTTGAATGATGCAGAGTATTTACTCGCTGTCCTTCGGGTGCGCATCCGCGTGCCTGCTCCTAATCTGCCTCGCTAAAGAAAAACGCCGTATGAAAATTCCAGTGTTGCCAAAGTCACTCTCAAAAAATACCTGTTTTTGAGGAAAGTTGTGCATATTTCTCATTGAAATTTCCTAACACTTCGGATCAAATTAGGAATAATATTCTCACAAAATTTGGAAGAAAAATAATAACGAATTTCTCCGAAAATTCATGACTGGTCAAAGGAAATTTAGCAACGCCTAAAGGTTCATACATAGTTTTTCTTTAGCACGACAGTCATGACATTGTGTTCATTACCTTCCGCCAAAAAAGACTGATAATCAGTCTTTGATGAGTGGGCATTCTTAAATCTTGACCGAGAGTTGCAAGAGATATTTGTAGTACGTGAAGTGTATCCTGGTCTCTAATTTCAGTCTCACAGTGAGGGATTAGAAGAAATTGACCCACCATTACTCTGTATTATTAGAACTTTGAGTAAAATAAACATGAATTTAAATAGTATGCACGGCAAAATTATTTATTGGAAATATTTTTACACCCAACGCAAGCTTTGCTACGTCAAACTTTTTATTTTGTGATGATTATATCTTATGATACGACTGGTTGCCGCTAAGGTATCTACGAGTGTAACTACATACGTTCGTTGGTCAGACCGACGACGATATAACTTGATAAGTGAGATTAAGGTTAACCAGCTTCTTTATGCTCCAGTGAGTATTACAGTTAAAATACTTCACTCACGCTGCATGGTTTTTTTTCATTTGAGGAGAGGGATAGTAGAAGTAGGAGGGGGGAGGGTGTAATTAAATCAAGCAGCAAGGTCCAAAATGCGTAAGTATGGTCAGGAGAGTTCGTTTCTGTAGTCAGCAGATTTGGAAAATTCTACGGTCCAAGCAATAATCCCCATATGCAGGATGGCAAGCAAAATTTCATTTTATCCTTCCCTGACTTCTTCTAATGAATTTCCCTGACTTTTTAACGATAACATAAGGGTACTTAATTAATTTGGTCAAAAAGTTGGCACAACAGCGCGATCAGCTGGCCCGTCGCGGACTCGATTTTAACGTCGAACCAAGCTCCACAAAAAATTATCCGACCGTTGACGAAATTCTTGACTTTTCCCTGATTTTTCCCGGTCGCTAGCCACCCTGCCCTCATTCTGCCATGCTAAGGAAAAACGCCGTATGAACCCCCAGGCGTTGCCACATTTCCTTTGATAAAACGCGAATTTCCCGGTAAACTTATGAATATTTTCCTCCCAATTTCTCAGATAATTTCGTTCGCAATTTCACCTACAGATTCTGAAAATTTAAAGGAAAAATATTCACGACTTTCCCCAAAAATAAACATTTTATCGAAGGAAATTTAGCAACTCTCGAATGTTCATACGGCGTTTTTCCTTAGCACGGCAGCATTACGGTATAACCTACATCACGGAGGCACGCGCTCGCAAGGCCAGAAATGGACCAAGACTCGTTCAGTTGTAAGATTGTTGAAAATCGCGTAAGTTGAAATCAAGTAAAAGACAATTTCCGGCAGTATGTTGGCAAGTCTGAATTTGTGTTAAAAATGGTCACGAAAATTTTACTGATAGTTTCCGAAAAATTAACTTGTAAAATTTTATAATTCTTTCCTCGCGGAAATGTCTTAACGCGATAAGAATGGGCAAAGTGGCTGAGACGCCTTCTTATGATCCATATCTATTAGGCGAAAAAAAATGTTGATTCTTAATTTATCAAAGGTCTCGGTAGTGACACGATTAGGAGCCAAGATGATATGATCGCTTTCTGTCCTTAATACTTTTGCGTTCCCATTAACTCTCCCATGTTTCGGTGGTGATTATCTACAGTCAGGGATGCCACAAAATTTAGAAAATGAAATTCTCTGATATTTCCCTTACACATTTGAGTAAAATTCCCTGACAATTGAGGATATGCCATACGGCAAAAAACACATAATTTGAAATAGTTTCCAGGGAAAATCCTTAGACGTCAAATTCATTCTAGAAAGCGAATAAAGGTAAATCAACAATTTTTCCCCGACACTTTCGACATACTTCCTGGCATTTCCAAGTTTTCCCAGACATTTCCCGGTACTCCCTGACGGTGGCAACCCTGTACAAAAATCCGCAAAACAAAATCCCCCAAATTCATATTTAACGCGGTCATACCCACATTTTGAGAAACAACAGCTTAGTGGTTCAAAACTGTGGAAAGTGCTCGATTCCGTAAGAAAGAGAGCCTCCGTGGGCTAAAATTTCCTAAAAGCTTCTCAACCGATACGAAAGTAAAATCAATGGTGACCTTCTGTAAACCCCTCGTCTATCGGTGTTTTTTTTCTCTTTTTCCCCACTTTTTTTTCTTTAATGAGCGGCGTTGGATGTTGCCTCGCCGATAAAAACGAGAGTTCGATTCGCAGCTCGCGCTCAAGGCCAGACGAACGGTTCGGACGGGAAATAAATGACAACGAACAATTATTGAAACATTAAAATCCTTCTTGTGACGCGCTTCTCCGGGTCTTTCGACTGATCTCTTGTCAGAGTTGCCACAAAATTTAGAAAAGTATTTTCCCTGATTAATTTCCTACCATGGTAGATTAATTTCCCCGATTTCCCTGAAACATTTGAGTAAAATTCTCTGACAATTGAGCAGTGTTCGAAACTCGGCATGAAATCTAAGCAGACATTTGGCCAGCAAATTTTTTTCTTAGGGGTCATCGACCTATCTTAAGGGGTTAAAAAAATGGAAGGGGAGGGGTATACAAAAGGTTTGAAAATCGTTGTAAAATTAAGGATGAATATATCATCATTAGAAAGTTGGTTGCCATATATTATCTTCTAGAGTTCGCGAGATATCTGAGAGGATTCTTAGTTTCTGCCTTTAAAAGTGGATATGAAAGGGGAGGGGGTTGGAGTAGGAATCCGAATAAATGAGCAAAAAAGAAGGTTACTAACGCAAATCACTGGTGCTTGTAACGCTTCTAGTTACAAAAAGGAACTTTGACGAGGTGGAAATCTTAGGAAGGTGAAAAGCATAGATTTCCTCATCAAACGGAGGTAAAAATTAAGTTTTCTATTACGCTTGCAAAACAATCCATTTGTTTGATTTATTTTTATTTTTAATAAAGGAGAGATAAAACTCGAACACGGAAGTTCGACTGACGTTTTCGAAACGGTATGGAAATTAGCTAATGACGAGACTTACAAAAAATCTCACCATTTATCGAGATAAGTCAAAAAAATTCGCAAGCCAGGAAAGAAAAATATACATTTGATTGAAAGGAAGAGGCGAGATAAGAATATTGCGCAGAGTTC